TAAATAGATACAACAAATATACTTAGTGTGATTGGTTATGATCCTTGATTGCCTTTAAAGAGACCAAGGTTCAAATCCTAGTGCATGCCTTTTTTATGAATAAATAAATAAGAAAATAAGCAATTGTGAAGACCAAAATGTCCTTCCTATAATCACTCTCATTGCAGGAAATTTGAAATGGAGCAACAGTTTTCATCATTCGGCTTTTATTTATTATCTAGATACAATGGTAAAATATTTTTGGGATCATATTGTTTGTATAATTATTTAAGGGGGTCATGTAGTAATTATAATTATTTATAATTAATTGATTTAATCAGAATTAATAATGAGCGTTAGATTAGATCAACGGTGCAAGTTTGTGGAGCATGCTATGTGTCTGGAGCATACGAGTCGTATCCATATATATATATATATATATATATTTTTGTTGATTGTGAATGATTGTTAATTAACTTTCCATCAAAACTTGGGTAATTTGGTTGTTTACCGTGCTTGCTAATTTGGGACATGGAATTGACTAGACCCGTAGTGATACCATATAAAAGTAGTGGTGACTATATTGTTCTTAATTTTCTCATGAGCTCATACAAATAAATGTAAATGATAACTCTATATATAACAACTAAATAGTTAAATCTAATAGAGTTCTACATCTAAAATGAGTGAGAAAGGTATGAATAGATTTAATAGTCATATTAGGGGGTAAATACCAAGTTTGGTCACTGGGTTTACTAAAACATGACATGTTTAGTCACTGAAAAAAATTAATATCAATTTTGGTTACTCGAATTAGTAAAATGGGCCACATTTCGTCACTCTCCGTTAACTTTATCTGATGTGGCAGTCAACCCTAACAGTTGACCGTTAAATATCTGACGTGACAATTAAAAAATTAAATTCTTTTACTATTAACTTTCCCTTCGTGACCACGTCATCGTCGTCGCAGACAATCAGACTCGAAGCGGGCGTCTTCGGGGTTCCCACCGGAGTCTCCTTCCAAACATCATGATCAGACACCGACTCGGACTCCAAATTCCGATACCGATGAAGGACAAACTCGGCAGCGGGGACGTGGACGTGAGATGGAGGAACGGGAGGGAGTGCAGGGTGCGGCTTCCCTGCCGGCGGCGATTCTAATCCTTCAGAAGTTGACGGAGGCAGTGAGGACGGTGACCCAGGTCCAGAGGTTGTTGACGATGTCTATAAAACGAACAACTGATGTAGTCGAACACCAGCGGGTCTAGGGCGAAATCCACCGCGTTCATGATTGAAACCCGAAAATAAATTATTGCGGTAGAGAAGGAGAAGAAGAAGAAGTAGAACGGCAGAGTGAGTGAGTGGGATTTGTTGTTCTCTCCTTTTTATTGAACTAGCGTTGGGCCCGGCCCGTTGGCCGGTATAGTATAGAACCTCGACGTGTATTTTGTTTTACTTTATGTGTAATGATTTGCAACAAATCTTATGATTTTATAACTTGTACAATGTTACAATCCAAACCCGAGTATAAAATTTGCAGCAGTAATTATGTACTGATTATACATTAGGATAATATATTAGTAATGAAGCAATTAAGAAAGACAGGAGATGAGAAACACTTGAAAAGGCTTTTGTTATAAATTAAAGGGAACCCACCAATCGGCAATGACCATTTCCTGTGTTCTCCACATGATCATTAACAGTTATGCTTAACATGTTGCATTGCATAATTACATTGTATGAAGAAAACCCCTATGATTAAACAAACTGCAAGATCATAATCAACAGAAAACAACACCCACCTAATTAGGATAAATTCACCAAGTACAATATATCGATGCTTGCTAGCCTTCAGAAGGAGAATCTTTGACTGCTATCCTATTAAAAACACCTTACCATACTAACCATAAGAAAAACCCTACCTATAAAGCTTCTACATGACACATCTTAAGAAAAACACCATACTGAAGAGTTAAGCCAGGTTAGAGGGCTTCTAGCTGATAAACCAAAGGTATGAAACCAAAAAAAATACCCTACTATAGAGTTAGGGCAGGTCAGAGCCTCATATGGCGTTTTGCACTTGCCAATAAAAAGCTGAGAAAGCTTCCTACTAATTGTTCCCTTTTATCTCTATCCCGCTTTAACTGAGAGGTCCTTTACCCTAATAATAAAGCTTTCCACTCCACATCTTAGTAAAAACACTTTACTAATAAAGCTTTGTAAAGAAGTAAAGATGTTAGGAATATATATTAATAGAATAATAATAATTAGTAGTGTTAGGATTAGTAGAGTTAGGCGGCTAGGTATAGTCGAATGGGTTAGGGTTAATTGTTAGGGTTTTGGGTTTATTTCCTATAAATATGTACTTTGGGTTTACGTCAGAATCAATCAAGAAAAATATTAAGAAAAATCTCCTAAACCCTAGTTTATCCTATCAATTCCTAAATTTCTATTCTCTCCTAGTCCAAGGCTTTGACCGATTCTTTATCTATTTTGTTCTTTCTTATCTAAATCCCTAATCTAAACCCTAAATCCCTATTCGTTACGATAATTGCGGGTGCCGAAGATCGGTCTTTAGAATCCTCAACAAGAGGGTTCTTTCAAAAGAACAGTTGAAATGTATAAGTAGTCATCTTAAGATTCATTCTACATTAAGCCAACAAACTAATCACGACAGCTAAGCTTCTAAAAGCTGCCACTGCAGAATCTAAAAGTTCACATATCGTAAAAACAAACTATTCACGAACATCCTATTCTGTTAAACAAAATACTTAAAATAAGATTCGCAACACGACCCTTCACTACACAAATCTTCTAGCAATACTACTGCACTTCTTTGGGGTCATAGTCATCTCCATGTTTACTTTCTGCCTTGTAAAGGTTGTCCCTCCAAGATTCTCATTTCTCGGGACTTGGCTTAGTCTTGTTGGCTTCCTCCAAGATAGGAGCTGCACTTGTGTGGAGTTGACTTGTTGTCTCGCTCAATTGATCCAATCAAATTACAGCAATAAGATAAATTGAAATGATGAAATTAATTTGGTACCCTCTTCTACTATTTGAAAGATGTGTTGCTGATATATTCGTCACTTACCCCAAGTGGATCATGCTCCACACTAACCACAGAATACTCAGCTTGAGGGTTCAAGTAGTTAAACTCAGTCAGTTTAACATGTAATTTCAGTCTTATGTTCACAACTTGCTAGATTTGTGGAGGAATGGGTTCTTTCTTCCTCTGATTTGCTTGGAACAATACATCAATTATTACCTCAAAGAAAAACAGGCATTCACGCTCCAAAATTGCAAAATATGCTTCACCAGAATCATCTTTCAAATGGAGTTTCACTATATACCTAAAGCCAACATGGAGTCATACTGAAAATGTCATGATTCTGCATCCCTATACCTTTATGTCAGCTAAATCATGATTATTATCACATTGGAACAACAAAATTGCATACTGTAGTTTGCATGAAAACGGAATTAGGTTATGAGCAAGCTATATTCATCACCACAACAAATTCTTCGTATATATTTCATACATCACCTCCGACTCACACAGATCCACTATATTTATTGGAACTCAACCGAGGAAAAGGATCACTCAACCATAAATTGATGCATAAAAGAATCCCTGGTTGCACAATGAAAGCAGAATCATAATGAACAAATTTGAAATACCAACTATTTACAATAAAACCCCAATGGATATTAACATAAAGCAGGAAAGTTTTATGAGAAAAACACATAATTGAAGATCATTCAAAATCCCATTATCCATTGTAATCCTTGGCTTTATTTTATCCTCTCAGGTATGTTTTTCAAAATCACATATTGCGTCTAGGAGGAAACTTGCTAGCAGCCAAAGCTAAACGAAATGCAGAGGGAGACATACTTGGGACTGAAAGAACACACTCTATAAATCCGTCGTAACACCAAAAGGAATTTTCTTCTCCTATGAGCTAAAGTCGCAAGATGGGCCTCCATGCGGGCGAGGCGGGTTTTCAACTGGTCAATAACTAAGATTAAGAAGCATCAGAACTAAGAACAATTTATATGTACTTAAAATCATTGAAAAACTTATATGCCTCCGTTTCCCTAACAAAGACAAAATGGAACACTCAAAAATTAAATAACAATCAGGTACTATAGATTCATTTAATTTGTTACTGAGTCGTTACAAATTAAATGTATTTGCCCGTTTTGAGGTCGGGTCGTGTGTTCGTCAAGTATATGACACTAACAACTTGAACACATATAATATGTCGGGTCATATGTTCATCAATATAATTGTTTTGCAGAATAAGAATGCCCTATATTGACCTTTCAATTTTGGTACCAAGAAAGTAAGAAAATAGATCGAGTTTTTTTCAAGTAAAAAGCAGTCTGGAACCCGTTTGTGGGGCATTGAATTCCCCCACTATCATCCTTTATTACGATCGTACCATTCACATAAATTAATAAAACCACCATACCTCAATTGGAGCGAATTGTAACAGTGATTGCTCCTTCAAACCTTTGAACTTTATAGTTTATACAAAACGGTCACCAAAAGTTTAGTTTGTAACGACACGGTAACAAAAGTTTGAACTTGTATGAAATTGTCACTCTGTTTAATTCGTGATCGTTTTGTTCTAAGTACAAAGTTTTGTTATCGAATCATTCCAAATTAAAGATTTGTAACTGCCTTGTACTAAGTGCAAAGGTTTGTGACCATTTATGCTAACTAGCTTAGACCCTGCCCGTTGGACAGTTGGTTTAAGTATTTTTTTCCGTTCATCTATTATTTTAATTTATGACTATATTTGATGATATCTATACTTATATATTTAATATTTGATGACTATATTTGATGATATCTATACTTATATATTCCGTAATATACACTGGGCAGTTGGTTTAAGTATTTCTTTTCGTTCATCTATTATTTTAATTTATGACTATATTCAAAATATAGTCATAAATTAAAATAATAGATGAACGAAAAGAAATACTTAAACCAACTGCCCACCGGGCAGGGTCTAAGTTAGTTAGATAGATAGATTACCCTATATAATCGCCGCCGCAGCGCCTGGCCAGTAGCTCCCTCCGTCCGATGAATGGCCAGGCTGCGCTAGTGTTGAGAATGAAGGAGAAGGAAATTCATTCATAGCCGCTCTCCTTGGCAGCGACAACGCGAACTACAATGCCGTCGCTGGATTTTTGAGGTGATTGGCTACTGCCTTCGAGTGTTGTCGTCGTCTTCAAGGATAAGAAATAGTAAGGTGTTTCAGTTCTTAATTAGGGTTTAGTGTGACAAAAATGGAGTTGCAAATCAAGGTAGCGCAGGCTGTTCAAGTTCTGAATCACGACGCCCAGTCCTGCAACCGGGTGGCTGCTAATCAGTGGCTCGTTCAGTTTCAGCAGACCGGCTGTGCTTGGGAGGTTGCGACTTCCATCCTCACCACCGATCACCTTCACCGTCATATTCCTTCTCTGGTCTCCAATTCAGAAGTCGAGTTCTTTGCCGCCCAGATTCTGAAACGAAAGGTTCGTACCTTAATTGCTGTCCCTCTTGCTGTCCCTCTCCATTCCGTCATTTACTCTCTGTATTCAGTACGCACACACGGTTTTGTTCCATTCTCAGTCTACTTCGCTGTAGTGAGTTCTTGCAGTTAAAGCTCAAACTGTGTGGTGGCTCTTCAGAACAAGTACAACATACCTGCCCGCTGTTTCTTACTGCAAGCCGTGAACATGTTAAACTTTTACTGTAAGCCTTGAACATGCTCAACTGGTTTCCGCTCCAGTTTCCTGTTTGAAGGCTTAGCCGATAAATCAAGCTTCATTATGTTTTTCCCTAAACCCCAAAACACCCGTATTAATGGGCGAGGGATTAGTTAGTACAAAAGCCTCTCAAAGTACTCTGGCTTTGGTCTCCGATAACAACACCTCTCTCAAATGCCATACTGTCCTTTGTTTAACACCTCTCTCTTTTACTATCATTTGTTGTCTCTGACTTTTTGTTCTCTTCCTGTCTCTCACTTCCGCCCATCTTTAGTTGTCTGCCCCGCAGCAACGCCAATTTCAGGATTGGTTCTTGATTTCTTTGCGTTGCTTATGAGCTTATTCATCACATGTTGTCAAGTTTGCTTGGGATGATTGATTTTGGTCCATGATTGATTTGACATGCATGGAGTTGGCTGATATGAAATACAGAAAGGACTGATGCATGTGGTACTTTTCTGTTTACATAAGTAATCAGAACTGCCTGCTTATTGCTCCATTGTTGTCCTCATTCAGTATAAACTTGGAAGTCACACTTACATGTTACTGAATATTATTCATGCTACAGATCCATAGCGAAGGACATTACTTACAATCTGGGCCCAAACATGCTCTGCTGAATGCTCTACTTTTGGCTGCAAAAAGATTTAGTGCTGGTCCTCCCCAGGTGCTTGAACTATTCCTTTCTAAAATGCATTAGGGTTGTTGGTTCAGGGAGGATGCTATTTCTGTTCTTAAACTTTCACTAATTGAAGTCATTGTTGGCAAGTTAACAATGGGATATCCTTGTATTCTGCGTATTGATGTGTATATTCACTTTTTGAACGGGTCTTCTGCTTATTGATGTGCCTAACTGATTTGCACTTTCTGTGTTGCAGCTTTTAACACAAATATGTCTTGCACTTGCTGCCCTTATTCTTTCTTCTGTCGACGATAAGAAACCCATCGAGCAGCTATTTTACAGTCTGCAGACTCTGCAGAATGACGATGATGGTAATGTTGCTGTTTTGGAGATGCTCACTGTTCTTCCAGAAGAAGTTGCTGACACGCGAAGTACTGATAGTAGTATAAGTTTATTCCAAAGAAGCCAATATGGCCAAGAGGTTAGGTCTTTCTTTCTCTTTTCTAGCCCCTTCCTATCGCTACCTTCCATATTTCATCTCATGAATCTCAATACACTCTATTAAATCCATAAACTAAACTCTTGGAACAGCTTCTTTCACGCACTCCTATGGTACTCGAGTTTTTGCTGGAACAAACTCTGAAGAAGTACAACGGTATTGTCCAACTACATGAGAGGGATAGGAAGATTCTTCGTTGCTTGCTAAGTTGGGTAAGACAGCACTACCATTGCTATCCACACTTTCTATTTCAGAGAATGTCTTTGTTGCTATGGACCACAGTCTTCATATAGTATTATGGATTGAATTTCTTGTTCTCAGGTTCGAGCTGGATGCTTCTCAGATATTTCACAGGACTCATTACCGACACATCCGCTTCTTAATTTTGTCTTCAACTCTTTACAGGTAAATTACTCAAAGGTAAACTTGAAGCATTTTCAGTGTCCTTCATACCCAAAATTTTTACCTATTGTTGCAGGTTTCATCCTCATTTGATTTAGCAATTGAAGTCCTCATAGAGCTTGCAAGTCGGCATGAGGTATACCTCTTTTTAAACAAGCAACTGTGCTCCACTTAACTTATCCTTTTTTATTAAGTTATGTTAGAAAGGTCTTGTATCAATCCATGGTCTGCTAATGCTGGCAAAACTCAAAACTATAACTTTTTTCTTTGGATCATAGTGAATACATGTATACTTCATAAGGAAAATATACTCTGAGCTTGATAGAAAAATAAGGCGGGTTATGGCACCATCAAATGAAGGCATACATTGAAGTGGAGACCAAAAGGATAGCTTCTGTGACTTTCATGCCCTTCCTTCCTCCAATATACATAGGCATCTCTTCCATATCCAAAACTGATATCTAGTATCTATTTTTCCTAAACCCTCTGTATCTCTATTGGATGATAGTGATTCATGCATAGTTATGATGTGAGACAAGTTCCATTCGTTCCCTGGTGACCGTTTACCTCAGTTTTATGTGTGAGGGAGTGAAGTTTGAACTTTGATTATGAGAAAATTAATGATTTATTAAGTGAGGGTCTTTGTCCATTTGTTGATTTGTTGTAGAAGCTTGCACAGTATTGTGTGTGGAGATAATGTGATGTTTTCAATTTTATATATGGGAGGACTGGATGGGACACTGAATGATTGACATCTCCTATAATTTTGCCTTGTTTATGTCGTTCCAATTGGGAAAGCAATAGAAGTAGTATAGCAAAATTTTCTGATTTTTAGCTGTTATTTGCTGGTAGAAGTGGAAAGGTTTAGCTATGGTAGCAGTTCTAAGAAACTGATCAGAGCCCTTGAAGCTCTGTCAGCTCCATCACTGTATAATATATGAGGATCTCAAGGAGTGATCTATAATATATGGTGCTGCTGAAAATATTGTTGACATATGAGATTAACTTGCCAACTTCTATGTTTCTGTTTTAGTTTTTCTCTGGCCTTCATAATTGAAAGAATGTAAAATAAATGGGCTGGTGTCAACATTGACGTGCTTTATTGTTGTCTATTATTTTACCCATAATGCGCCTGGGAATTCTTGTATGGTCTTAGTTATGTAAACTTCTGCACATGGACGGAACGAATTGGTGATTTGTCTTGTTGTGTTGCTGAAAGGCGCCCCGAATGAAAGAACTGGGTCTTTTACAATCTGTGATTGTTAGGACATGTGTGTTTTGAGGAATTATGCATTTGAAATAACCAGATTGTTTAGTTCAGTTTACTGTAAGAGTACATCCTTTGGATATTGTGATTATGAATTCGAATCTAATTTGTTGGGGTCAATGAGCAAATTTTGAGGCAGATGATTTGTAAATTCAGAATAATGAATAATATTGAAAATCGTGATCCTATTTGAAATGCATGCATTCTTAGAATACATAATCTCATATCTCAGGTTCAATACGCCCCCAAAATCACTGACACGTGTAACTTCCATTTGTCATATTAACAACACTTCTCTGAACCACTTTTTCGGATACAAGTGCACATACCCAAATATATGCCTGTTGGATGACATAAATGGATAACCTGCTTTCTCTCTTCTCTTTAGGGACTACAACAGATTCTGTTATACAGAATTCATTTTCTTAAGGATGTGCTTCTTCTTTCTGCTATTAATAATGGGGACGAGAAAGTGATTAGTGGCCTTGCATGCTTGATGTCAGAAATTGGACAGGCGGTAACTATTTCTTGCCATTTCATTTGTTTCAACTTATGCATCCCATTCTTGACAACTAAATAATAAGGCCCCTACACGTCCTTTTTCTCGTTGGTTTACCATAGGCTCCATCTCTCATTGTTGAGGCGAGTGTTGAGGCTCTAGCGTTGGCTGATGGACTATTAAGGTAATATGTTAGATTGGGAACTTCCTAAGGATTCTGTACTTCCCAATTTTTTGTCAATATCTGTAGTGATTGCTATCAAGTAATCTAAATATGCCTTGGGTTTGTTATGTGCCTGATAATCTGCGTTGAGTTTGCTTAATGGGTGCATTACATGACTTCTAGCTGGGATATTCTTGCAATGCTATGTCATGCATTGCTACCTTCCATACCCATCAGAAATTTTTTATTGGGTCTTTAGGAATTCCTTGTTTCATCTGTTAGGGACTGTAAGTTAATGCTACAGCAATTGACCACTATATGCTTTTGATACTTTCAGTAATTCATGTGAAAGGGTTCTTTGCATGATGCTTCTTGTTCCAGATTATGTTTTGCTGCTTCTTATCAGTTGGTTACTGCAGGTGTGTGGGATATCCAAGTGAAGACTGGGAAATTGCAGATTCAACATTGCAATTCTGGTATAAATTATGTTCTACTTATGCTTATCACAACACTTGGTGTCCAGTGTTTGTTCAGAAATCCTATGCATGTGATTAGCTGAATATGTTCTATGGGTTATCACTGTTTTATTTATGCAAGTTTTTGATTTGGATAAACCTGGGGATCAGGTTGGATTGGTGACCTTTCCATGATAGCTTGATAATAGTGCTACACACCGTTGCACCCTCTTTCCCCCCTGTGACTTGGGGAAAACAATCCGACTTGTACCCCTTCTGAGTCCCGCACAATTAGTAAATTTGCATAACCTTTCCCGATCGGGACCCGTGGATAATGGCCGCTCGTTCAATCAGAACTCCAAAAATATTTAATTGTCCCTCCATTTCTTATCCCTGTATATGAATACTATCGTTGTTTTGGATGCTGGATATGACTTTTTGCCTCTACAAAGTTTGACTTTTGTACACCACTTGGAGCTTTAGTAATGTAAAGATAATTTTTGTTTCCGTCTCTGGCTGTCTATTGAATTCTTTTGGATAGTTTGTGTGGGACGATATGGCGAGTGTATCATGCTTCTATCTAGAGCATGACCTATCGATTGAAACATCATCACTCTATTGTGCTCATAAAAAGAATGCTGAATCGTTCATCCTTCATACTGTTCTATCATACTATATAACAATGGAAATATTATTATTTGTATGATTTGTATTTAGTGAGTTGCTTTGAGACAATGCTTTTCATTGTCATGGTATTTGTAACTCTGAGCTTGTTTTACAGGTCTAGTCTTGCAAGCTATATACTTGGCCTTGATGCTAGTGGTGCGGTAGACAAGAAACATGTGGAAGCCATTTTCTCCTCCATCTTCTTAACATTGGTTGATGCACTTTTATTGCGAGCCCAGGTTTGATTTTGATCTTCAATTTCCCTTGTTTTTTTTCTTCTGTCTTTCTAGTCCTTTACCATCCTCCGCCATTAATATATGGAGGTTCTTCATCACAAAATACTTCATTAAGAATCTTAAGGCCTCTGAGAGAACTAGTAAGGAAACCTTTGTCATTTTAGTGAAATACAAAATTATTTTTATGATATTAGTCGGTTAGAATATTTTAAGAAGTTACTAGTCGGGTAGAATTATTGTTTGGTTATTATAATTAGGGGTTAGTAGAGCCGTAGAGGATGTCACCGAATTAGTGGCAAGTATTGTCATTTATCACCAGGATTGTTATTAGTTTCAGGAGTAGTTTAGTAAATTGACATTATTATCAAGTTTGGCATACTTCTCTAAATGGTAAGGATATTTTATTTTCAATGGACTATATCGTACTCTGCTAATCTGTTCATTCTCTAGTGTTTTTGGTTGAAATTCCCACACATTCTTTCATGAAAAAAACATGCATATTAATTCTGAACATGCAAGGGATGCCTTTGGGGTGTTTATGCCAGGAAGTTAAGGGAAGGCAAAAGGGAGAACAAATATACTTATAGTGGCTGTAAGTATGTTGAGAACATTAGAGAAACTATGCAACCCAAGTATAGACTGGATTCAGTTCCGTGTTCTTTCCTTCCTCTGCTCTCCTCCTTTATACTCATACAGGTTTGGTAGGGGTGTTCAGTCTAACTATGCCAATGTATAAATGTGTCAGGTAGCCACTTACGGTATATGTAAGTGCTAACTGTTTCCATTCCCATGGAAATGATTTAACCTCAACAAACTTAAGAGTCCCGTTTGGTAATGAGGCTTCTGGCAATGGCCAATGGTTGCTTTAAGTGAATATAACTGCAGGCATAAACTATGAAATAAGGTGTATTTAGGATCAAATATTCAATTAAGTTCTTGTTTGCTATGTTCACTGTGTTGGAACTTTGCCTCTAGCAGGTTGACGAAGCAACATTTAATGACCGGAGTGGTGTTCTTGAACTACCTGATGGTCTTGTCCATTTCAGGATGAATCTTGTTGAACTTATGGTGGACATGTGTCAGCTTGTAAGACCTCCCCGATTTGTACAAAAGGTGCTTGGTTCACTTATTGGAAGATATGCATGTAGTTTTATTTGATGACAGTAGCTAGCTTAGTACATTTATTTTTTGAATGGGATGTTAAAGGTTTGGATGATCTGCTTAAAAATAATTCCTCATTCGTGTTCCTTAGACATGTTCAGTTCCACTTGCTATGCTTTCCATTGAAATTTTTTGCTGCATTTTTATAGACGCTTAGTTCTTAAAATTCTAGGAAGCTTTTGAATCCAAACTATAGAAGGAACTCTCAGAGTCTTGCTTAGTGATGTACTTGACAAGCAGGTTTCTGCTTTGGAGATTGCTTTCGTATGGTTTCTCTGTTACAGTGATCTCTTCATGGTTCACCATGATATTTTGTCAAAGAGATGGAGTTTCATAACATGTTGAATCTTTCCATGTCCACCTCATTGCTCTCACTCTTCGTGCTTCTCTGCAAATGGGATTCTTTGAAATGCATAAAGCTTTCTGATTCAGATACCTTCAGCATATAACTCAACATTCTTACTAATTATATAAATCTTTTGTAGCTCCTTTTTGGTGCCTGGCCACCAGCAAATGTACCAATTCCTTGGAAAGAGGTGGAAACTAAATTGTTTGCTCTTAATGTGGTAAGTCCAATTTATACCAATTGGTAATTTTTGGTCATGTTTTCAATTAGTTTTGCTGAGTGCCTATTATTTAGTTTTAAATTCGTAATATTGGAGTGGATTGAATAAATTCGTAAGTTTTCAATTAGTTTTGCTCTTTCAAATGCATGAATGGAGTGGATTGAATAAACGGGCCTGTTATTTCTTCTTAATTATTTCAGTATAATTTCCAAGAGGGGATTTCATTGTTTAAATAAGAGATGTCTCTTTTACAACAAATCAAATGCAAGGAGCATTATCACTCTAATCATGATCATATGTTCTTGCACCCAATGGCATCCCCTGACACCTCTTAATACATAATGAGAAAAATGAAGTTCTGAAAAGGGGTTAATAACTTAATATCACTCCTCCTGGCGCATAACAACACTGACACCCCTGCCTTTAGTTTTACATTTGATGTTCATACCGATGACTTTGGCTAAAGCCAAAGAGAAACCCACTACTACAAAAACTCGTTACCGTAAATGCATAGTAGAGGTGCCTCATCGTCATCTAGAAAAGTCTTGAAGTTTATGATTGACTTTGTTCTTGGTTCTGATCACCTATTCAATACTCAGGTTTGCAACCTCATCCGTTGGCCACATTTGACTGTTTTGTTTTTGATAATTTTGTTGTAAATTGAGATAATGGTATGCATCTTTATTTATATCCCAATCATTGGGTGTAGAGCTAAGCTAAATTATATCTTACCAATATATACAATGGTAAAATTACCATTAGTTTTACTTTGGTTCGGATGGACTATTCTATGAGCATATACATTTCTTATATGGAAGTGTGCTCTGTGTGGTTTATTCGTCATGTATAAATGCCTGACCTCTTTGTTTTCATTTCATATGAGCATGGAGTGTGATAAAGGAGCTCATTGTGGTTCTGCCACAGAGTTTTGGTTGGTTAAGCCCCTTGTGCATTCAGATTTTTATTTGATGTAGAATTGATCCTAATGTTGTGAATTTCCTTGTTTGGGACTTTATTTTGATGATTTGTATTCTAACTCAAAAGTGACCATGACCTACCCTTCTAGACCAGCTTAAATGATTACCACCGAATGCTTAAGGAGAATTCTGGGTCATTCTTTGTTTCCCTATCTTCCATCTAGTACCTGAAGCTCTCTGCGATCGCTAGTCCGTACCTGTCTATAGTCTGTGCATTTACCTAGTAAGCTGTTTTCCTATCACAGTTTCGTGCTGAGGAATATTTGGTCTTCAGCGAGTATGGTCATGGAACATTCTGTACACATGCATCTGCAATTTCTCATCCTCTGTTATATGTATGGGGCATCATAAACTCTAAGTTGTTATCCTGTCTGTGAATGTGTTTCCTCCCTCAGACACGGGTGCATCCTGTTACGTCCTGGCTGGCTCAATATATTCTATTTTACTTGATCTTTTATGTTCTGTAACAAGACTTCTCAAAACCTTCGCATCTGATTTCTCCCACTGCGGGTACTTGGCCATTGTTCAGACCTTTACACCTTAACTTAATATTATTATCGCAACCAACTCTGCATCACAACCATCCACAATTGTGTCAATTCTCTAATCTAATGGGATGCAATGCTTCATTTCCAGGTTTCTGAAGTAGTCTTGCTGGAAGGCCAGATGTTTGATATCTCTTCCATCATGCAATTAGTCACGATGTTATCCACTTGGTCTGTAGATGACCTCAGTGGATTCATGGGCGTGGTAAGACTGCCCTTCATGGCGAACTCTGTAGACAGTTATCCACTTTAAAACGCATGTGATATTAAGTCCAGGACATCAATAATGAGCTTTCTTCTTCTTGTTGGCTGATTCTTGGTTTCGGTTTAGGTACGCAGATCACTAACAGATGTTGTTGGTTCCTACTCCAAGTGGATATCTGCTTCTCCAGCTAATTCCAGACCCTTGCTGTAAGGATCAGAAGCTCAATATTGAAAAAACATAATATGTTGAGCATTTGTTTCACTTTCTAGCCGTGAAGAAATTGTAATGGGTGCCTTTAGTTTCTCTAGTGACCCTTATACTGTTTCAGACTTTTCCCCCCTCATTATATTTTTGTCCAGCTCCACTAGTTTGTCTCTTTATATTCATCTCTGTCCTGGTTTCTTCCTTTGTGTTTGGTTTTATACTCATTTGCAGCTTTCAGATTATTTCTTGCTGCAGGGATTTCAGAGAATCATTGCTCAACTGCTTGTATGTCTGCCCTACGTAGATTTTGTGAAGAATCTTCACCTGTAATTTATGAACCTGCGAATTTGGAAATACTTTTATGGGTAGGAGAGGTAAATGGTTCATTAAAATATACTTACTTACTGGCTCGTATCCCTTTGTGTTTCATTCTTTACCTTATCCAAACGCATTAGATTTTTAAATTGTGACTCATGAATGGTTTCTCTCATTAGTAACCACTTATACACATGGATGTTAATGTTTGGACATGTATTTTTCTAATTGCTATGGTTCCGCTTATATATCTGTAAATATATCTTCTGACTTGGAACTAGTCTTTTCTATTGTATCTTCGACAGGCCTGGCAATGTTTGTGTCGTCTAAGATAATAAAAATTTGTATGAAAATTATCTGCAAGATTATTTTTGGGTAATGTCTATTTTTTATCCAATTTTTTTTCAGATTCTTTTATATTATTCAAACCTATTAAAATACTAAGAATTAGCCAAATGTTAACTTCCAGTTAGCAATTTAGTTAGGGGTCGTTTGGATGAGGAATTCTAATGGATCAATCTGACACAATTGTCTTGTTTTGAGTCAATTGTGTCAGATTGATCCGTTTGGCAGCAGAAAATTTAGATGAAATAATTTGTGCTGGGGAATTCAGAATTGACTCATCTTGAGCCAATTACAATTGTCTGGGGTGGGGCAGGTAATCTGAATTGACTCGTTTTAAATGACTCGTTTTGTAAAATGAAACAATTGGTCAATTTGTCTCGTTTTACAATTGATCCATCCAAACGACCCATTAGTAATATTGACTTGACAACATGCTACTTACTTGGAAGAGATACACGAAGGTCGACATTCCAAAATTTTAGTATTTTAACTCAGAAAAGAGTTACAAAATTATTAACGATAACATAGAAATGACTAATATTTTGATGCATTACGAAAGATTTGGCTAATTAATAGCATTTCAATAGGTTTGGATAATAGAAAAGAATATGAAAACGGTTAGGATATAAAATAGACATTGCCCATTATTTTTTAAGGACTTGATGTTGCTAGTTCGGAAAGTGCCAGTGCAAAAGTGACCCTAGCGGTGTGGTAGAGCATACACGTGAGGGGATATCTATGTTCCTTTTATGAGGTCTAGATACCTTCTTTTGTTTCTTACTTCCGTTTCCTTTTCATATCCCCTGCCTCCACTTCTATCTCAATTCATCCTTGTATGCCTGTAAACTCACTATCCAACCTTCTGTTGGTTTGTAATTCTTGATCATTTCATGTTACAGGCTTTGGAGAAGAGGCACTTACCTTTAGATGATGAAGAAGAAGTAATAAGTGCAATAAGCTCAATCCTTGGTTCCGTACCAAATGAAGAACTAAAGTACAACTTGTTGGCTAGATTGCTCTCCTCGAGCTATGATGCCTTAAGAAAACTTGTGAGTATGTTTTCGTGCCTGCGCTATGGCATTTATATTTCATTTGGTACTATAATGATGGCTAAAGAAGGAGATTCTCGTTGTAATTACCTTGTGTCCAGCAGCTGCTTCATCAGATTTGTTTCCTGAATCCTGATTTTTCTTCTAATTGAATTTTCTAACTTTCATCGGTTTGCTTGCACGAAGGAAACAAATCTATTTGGTTGTGAAGTCATCCTCTTTTTGAAGTATTTCCCTTTTAGAGTTGGTTAAAATATGTGCTGCCGGTGCTAGAAATTATCTTATTACTCAATTCAATGATTACAAGTCTTTATTTGTACTTATGCTTATGCATACTAGAAAGCATTTTCATATTTATGAATGCAAGTTGATGTTCTAATATGGATACGGATACTGTGGGGAGTTCAAACCATAAGTGTGAACCTGATGCCCTTACCTAGTATGGTGATGCGCAACCCATAAGCTTCTGGCAAGACCTCTTGTTCTCTGGCCAAGAACTCTCGGCCTTCAGCTGTGGGCCTGTGGCCAGGGCGTAGAGTTCTTGCCAGAAGCTAAGGCTCCTATAAACCTCAATACCTCGTAGAGGATCAAGGATATTGGTCAAAAACCTCGGATTGAGGTCAAGGCTATGATCTGAAAAGGCACGACGAACTTTGCAGAGGTCCTAAGTCAAGAGCCAAAATCGTCAGCTGAGGTGTTGTGTGCTTTGGAGAAAAAATATGAGTGGAGGGCCTAGGACAAGGGTCCAAAAAGCCTTGGCCGAGCAAGGGATGAGGTCAGGGCCTGGAAACCCCTTGTAAGCTGTATGTTCCATGCCTGTTTGAGTCATGAGAGTAGCATCTCAAATATTTCTTTTCTGTGTCATATTGTCTTAACTTTTGTATTATCTTTCGTTCAGTGGAGTTTTGACTGTTAAAATGACATACAGATTGTTACCAAAGATGGTAAATAGTTGAATAAAGTGAAATTATCATGACAAATCCGTCCATCAGCTAACAGCTATGACAAACTTGTATACTATGTGTATAGGCCACATACGAACAGCATCTTGGCCGTCTTTATTCACCCTTCTTTATTCACCCTTATCACGTCAAAGGAACTCGATACACAGCTTGTCAGACTGGAACTGGGAAATTCTGTAACCTGTCAGATTTGTAGTTGCCTATTAAAACTGATGTTTTACTATTTTGCTTACAAGCGGAAATCCCCTATGATTGTAAAGCAGAGGATACGTGATGATTGTATTTATTAACCATTGAATAACTCAACTTATCCTGTTTTTTGTCATATCCTATAGTGGCCATAGCTGGCTTGTTCCTATTTGCTTTAGATGATCTCTTAAAGTGCAATTGACTATTTTTGCGGCATTTAGTTTCCCCTTGTGAAGCTACTAAGAAAGCTCCCTCTTGTTTCAGATTAATGAAGATGGTGAACATTCTTATAGACAAAATCCAGCTACTTATACTCAGCTTTTGAATGGAGCAGCGAGAGGATTACATAGGTATGTTACTTAGTCAGAAACGCTGGGGTAGTTATCTGTAATTAATTGGACAATACAATGGTTTTTCCCTGGATCGCACTGACAAATTGAATTGCTTCGGCTTCTAAGTATTTGCTTTGCATAGACCTTATCCCTAAAGTTTTTTCTTTCAGTAGAGTTGCTTTTCCTGCATGTGGTTTCATGATTGGCACAATCTGTTGTACTATTTTTCCTCGGGCCTAATCTGTTTTGCAAATTTACAGAATAGGAATTGTATTTGCTCAACTTGCAATGTCAAAACCCAATGGGCCCGCTACAGATGACCCTTCAATAAGGTTGCTACGGGTGTTCTGGCCCATGTTGGAGAAGATTTTCAGATCCGAATACATGGAAAACAGTAACTTGTCTGCGGCAGCTTGTCGTGCGCTTTCCCTTGCAATTCAATCGTCTGGTAATAGGAAGATATGTTGTTTTCAAGTCTGGCACCATGTTTCTTTCTTCTCGAAGATTAATATTTTACTGTTTCTTTGGCATTTTTGCAGGGCAACAGTTTCTAGTTCTACTGCCGAGTGTTTTAGATTGCCTGTCTACAAATTTTCTGGCCTTCCAAAATCATGAATGTTACATTAGGACAGGTAATCATTTGGCAACTCAGAATCATTTAAGAATAGTGACATAGACGAAACCTGAAAGGGTTAGGGTTCATAGCATGAGAAGGAAGTAGGAATGTTAGGGTTCTGTTTCAAGATAGTTGCTGGATGGCATCTCCAATCCTAGGGCAAGACTCACTTGAGAATCCACAAAAAGAAATAGGAAAATAATCTAAATCCTCGGCATATTCTGGGATCTCTTGCAGAATCTTCCTTATATGAGAGGTACAAGCTTTGTCATAAAAGAACCTAATTCTTGAACAATCCTCATTAAGTACTATTTCCTCTATAAAGGAATTTAACTTTGCACAACATATTTCTTACAAACTCAAATGAACTAAGAAATAGAAAAGAACAAAAGAGTACCAGGTCGTTTGGATGCAGCATTTGGCTTGAGTTATTTGGGCTGAAATATTGTCAAACAAAAAATGGGTTGTGGTATGTTGAATCCCGCGACAATTGAAATGATGCATAATGAGTCAATTGAAATACCTCCTCCCCCCTAGACATTTCAATTAACTTGCTCCTTCATTCTTCAAGTGGTGAAATACCACAACATGTGAATGTTCTATCCAAACAAGACAATTAGAGTCAACACATTCCAAGCTGATTTGCCACATACCAAAGTACTATAAAACCAAAATGATACATCCAAACGACCCATACAGTCCAAGTTGAAACTTCTTATTTGAAAGTTCTTAAATTGGCATACAGTGTCTGTTTGACAGACTGTGAATTTGTGTAGTGAAAGTTCTTATTTGAGATTAAGAGACCCTGAAACAGGTCATAGAAAACCTAACGTACGGAAATTATGCCCTATCAACTAATATGCAGTGTGATATTCCTTCTACAATTCGCTTAAGTTAGGCATCTGCTTTCCTTTAGAATGTCTCGTATGAATATCAACATTTATGTATTTCTCGCTTTGATCTCGTTTAGCACTACATATTAAGTGCATCTATGATAACCAAACTATCATCATCTCTTATACACTAAACTGGGCTTAGTTGACTATCTGAATTATAAGTTGCACATGAGCCAAATCAGTGATCTTAATTTAGAGACATGTGACTGGACACATGAGAGTTTTGGTTGTCTTTCGTCAATCCAAGTTGGCTTCCTGAAAGTTTAAGAATTCGCAAAGGATTGAAAAAAACCATGTCTTTTATTTAATAGTAATTGTTTGATCTTGGATGGCGTTAATGGTTGTGCATGGCTGATCATTGTTGTTGGAGATGATTTTTTCATATATTATCAGAGTGAGCTTATAATAGCCTGGCGAGTTGCTGTACCCTCGAGTGTGTACATTTTTACCCACAAAACAATCAATCTCTGAGATTGAAAATTTATGGGCTGCTTGAGTGTATTTACTTTGTTTGTTTTGTGTATGTTATAGTGTTGCTAGGTTGAAGGGGATAGGAAAAAGTTAAGCCAGTAACCAGTAAGCCATTTCTGTATGTTCATTTGATAATCACTTTTGGATACACATCCTTGAATGTTTAAATTAGTTTCCTAAACAAACAAAACTAGTTAATTTCATTGGGTAATAATAGATTGTAAATGACAAAGCTAGTTGTATAATGGCAGGTTTACCCAACATTAAGTGCCTATGATGTTGGTCATACTTCAGTCCAATCGTGCTCGTTGCAAACTGCTGTAATGTCCATTCAAATGGATCCATCCTTAGCAGTTGCAAGAAACTTTTTGTTTGTAGAACTAGGCAGTGGCATTAAAAGTGGAAACAAACTTCAATTCACAGAACTAAACAAAACCAATGGTCTCAACATGACTAGTGTTGCGCAACTTTGTCTTTTCGTGGCTTAAAAAATCCACTGTTCTTTCCATCCTCTACATCTGTGGAAGCAGATGTCTTGCTTGCTTTGAATTTGCAGCTGAAATGCATAGTTTCTGGATGGTTCACTTAGCCGTTTTCCTAATTGTTGTTGTGATTTCCGGTGCATACAATTTGAACATGCAGCTTCCATTGTTATTGAAGAATTCAGCCATATGGAGGAGTACGGTCATCTGTTTATCAGAACCTTTGAAAGGTTTACCCAAGCAGCATCTGTTATGGGTCTGAATTCATCATATATCTGTGACCAAGAGCCTGATTTGGTGGAAGCCTATGCAAATTTTGCATCCATGTTTGTCCGAAGCTGTCCTAAGGTTTGTCATCATCTTCTATATCAGATACTGTTTTTACTTAAATTTTATTATGTGGTTTCTTAGAGAGTTTTATGCATTATGATTACCTAAAGAGATCAATATGAATCACATGATCTTTCTCCATTCTCATTCCAGCAAGTTTTAGCTGCATCTGGGTCACTCCTTGAAATTTCATTCCAAAAGGCTGCTATATGCTGCACAGCCATGCACCGTGGATCAGCGTTGGCTGCAATATCATATTTATCATGTAAGTGCAACCTGCAGAGTTTTTGGGCTTCAAATGTGAGACTATCTGGCATATTAAAATCTTCTCTAATGATATTATTTGCCGGGGCAAATACCATCTTTCACGTTTGAGTTCCTAAAAAATCCATTTTTCACCTTAGTGTATTTTTATGTTTCCTGGTTCTTGTTGAATTGGTAGTCCCGTCTGGAAAGCACATTGGATGTCCCTAAAAGACAATGGAAATAGGATAGATTACACGTCTTATCTTAATCAGAAGATACCTGTAGGCCTAGAGCTGCCTTTCCTAGAAGATATTTGGAAAGCTAGCTTTATAAGGGGCTTTGAATTCGTAGTGTACCAGGCAAATCCTTGAACTTAATCATTCATGCGAAAAGAACAGGGTACTATCGAACTGGTTTGAATCTTCCTCTCTAGTTCTCATATTTCTGTATCTACTAAGGTTGTAGTTGGTTGTCGCACTTGGGCATTTATTGGTCTTAGAAGGCCGTTTTACATCATGAGGCAGACATATGTCAACTTCTCTCTACTTTCTTTGGTTTCATTTTTAATTTGCTTCCTCAATTCCTTGCCTTGGAGAAGGTACTCCAAATAGAGATAATCGCTTGATTGTATTCGAGCACTCACACTCTGAGCAATTTCATGAATCTAATGCAGATTTCCATATGCACTGAACTAGGTTACCTCTAAGGTTCACGAAATGTTTTGATATCCAGGTTGTAGTGCATTGCATAACTTATGCTTGTGAACCTCTTGAGGAGTCGAGATTAGAATGAAGTCTTCAATTCTTTTTGGCCGGCATTTTGTTTATTGAGATTTTGAAACCATTTTCATCATTCAGACTTAATTGCACTAAGACAACTGATGGGTACGAGTTTGAGGAAATGCAGAGGACAAAGATCGGTTACAAAAATTTGTTATTGCCTTGACTGAGTGCCACCTTTCTGTTTTTGAAATTTGTCACTGAGTTTATTTAACTACATGTAAAGATTGCTCTCATTACTGTTGAATCTATATCTGTTTGTCTTTTCAAGGTTTCTTGGAGGTTACCCTTGATGTTATGCTGGAATCCATCAACTCTGTGCTTGAGGGATCATATTGTTGCATTGCAATTCAGCTCATAGCTCGTAGAGGTGAAGGGCTAGTATCAAATATTGTTTATGCTTTGCTTGGTGTTTCAGCAATGTCTCGGGTAAGTTTAACATCATGAAGTATTTAAGTCTTTTTGTTGTCATCTCTAATGTAAGTATACAAGAATAGGAAAGTGTAAAAACACAGCGTGTTACTTGATTTGTTATATTAACAGAGACGTGATAGTTTTGTTAAATGGTTCTGATATGATTGGCTTGCATTGGGCAACCTGGTAAAGCTCTTAGTGCCCATCACGGGTCATTAAGCATAATAGCTACACTGTAAATCAGAGACCATTTCAGTCTCCAGTAAATATTTCCACATGCAAAATGAGATGTGTAATGTGAATTGCTGGGGCCATTTCTGAGTAACATATTGGTTGATACCTGAGATGATTAGTTATTTTCCCGTATGGAGTAAGAGAGGAACTAATTCTTGATGATTCCTGCATGAAATAGGTTCACAAGTGTGCAACCGTGTTGCAACAATTGGCTGCGATTTGCAGGTGTTGTGATAGAACAATTTGGAATGCTATGCTCTGTTGGGATTCATTGCAAGGATGGCTGCATTCAGCGGTGTCTCTCTCCCCTCTCTCTCTATATATATTATTATCTAATCGATCTAATTGTTTCAGTCTATGCATATGCTGTATGTATGTGCTTAAAAGTTCTGGGCTTGACTTCTGTTAAATTAAGTAGCACCAGTGTATGTATCTTGTGTCTAGGAACTGAGCTTGAGAACTTTAGTTGATAATTTTACCAGATGAAGTCTCCACATTAACCTGAGTTATGCTTATTTGGTGGTTTTGATTGTTAAATAAATTCCATAAGGGCTGTTATGGTCCTAGTTATCTAATCTGGTATCATAAGTGATGACTGCCTCTAGTATGGCCCTTTTAACCTTCTTCGCATCTGCTTGTCCTATGAAGTGTATGTTCTTGATAAAGAACAATGAACGCTATGGTGGCCGTTTATGGAATAGTGAAATGGTCTTCTAATTGTTTGATTAATTATTTATTTATGTGTTCATTTTAATGTTGTTGAGACCAGGTGCATGGCCTTCCAGTGGAGTATCTAAAGCCAGGACAAGATGATACATTGGTTCCAGTTTGGTTGGACGCTTTGGCTGGGGCTGCAGCCGACTATCTTGATAGCAAGAGTTCCAAGGGTGTTAAGAACAATTATGGGCATATGCAAGGGAAAGGTGGAAGAGTCCTCAAGCGTATAATTCGAGAATTTGCTGATAGTCACCGCTGTGCCTTGACCCAAATTTGAGTATGTATGTCTATGGAAGCTCAGCAGTTTCATTTATGAGCCATCACCAATATTCTACATCGCTTTTCCAGCTTCCATTTTGTGTGGTTATCGGATTTGGGTAATTAGCTCTGCTGCATTTGCCCCCTTGTTTGTTTGTACAGTTGCATCTCACCAGGCTGGTTAGCTAATCAACCTTCAATATTCAATTGTGTACATCCCTCGCTTAAAAGAAAACAAGTCCGACGTAACTTTTGTCAAGGTTAATCAAAGCTTAATCGTTATCATATTTTATGCCCGGGATGTTTGTGTAGTTTGTGTATGTTTAACGGTATGTAGTCTTGAAGGAATGAACTAGGAACCAATTCGGGATGTCAGGGACGTGAAACAGTTGAAACGAGGACCAAAAGGCTGGACATGGCCTCCAAGACAGAAGTGGCAACAGTCTGTCCCAGTTTCTATCAAATTTTATCTGATTTTGAGCCAAAATATTGAAGACGAGCATTATGCCAACGAACATGTGTATGGTCATATCACCTGACATGAGCCAAACATATCATCAGTGTGGGTGAGAACTGGAAGTGATGGTCAATCTAAATCGTGGCCTAAACATCATTGTGTTAGAAGCTGTATGGTATGGGCTTAGGCTTACCGTGGCCTCAAGCCCTCAACACGACCTTTCAAATTATAAAACTATGTTTGAAGATACAGTGATGTAAGTGCAACATGAGCAATACGCTCGTGTTGATTATGATATTCTCTCTCCTAATTGACTTTCGTTTGGCCCTAACAGTGGTTGTACTACTGAGATTTGCTCCCATTATTGATCCTTTGAAAGATTTGACAAAAATTTGGAGATCAACTTACTAACTTAATAACTTTTAAATATGAGTGGCTTTTTGTTCATGGTTGACAAGTTACGACAAAAAAGAATTTTGGAATATTAAATGTACTCATCATGGTTGGATACTCCTTTCGATTAGGGGTTAAAGTTTGGTTTGTGATTTGTCTATAATCCATAAACCACGCTAACCTGCACACACTGTAGTTATCCTCATTCACAATTTGTAGGTAGTTAGGTCTAGTTAGCAAAATTATTATTTTTGTGGTAAGTGATTAACCACTAATCACAATTGTTAATGTGCAAAACTCACTATAATCACATTGGGTTGACAATTTTTTATTTTACCTTTAAATTTCACCATACTTATCAATAATATTTATAATATAAGGAAAAATGATAAAAAAACCCACTGCCAAAATTAAAATTTATACCGCGTGTTATGTCAAATTAATTTGCATCTTGTAAATCAAAAGCTTTCATCTATTTTTTCTCTTTGATGCAAAATTTGAATATGAAACTCGAAAAGATAAAAGCCCCACACTTAATAGGATATACTGAATTCAATCTGCACGAACAACACAACAATACATCAATATGATTTAGGGGAGGATATCGGATTCATTGGTGGCAACATCAGCTTCACACCTTGAAACATGAATTTTTGCGGGTAACCACAAATCTAACCATTATGATGCGGTTTGTGGTTAGCAAAATCATGCTTTTGTGATTGTGGTTAACCACACAATGTGAGGTGGGTAACCACACTCACACAAACTTCCACCCCTACTTTTAGCAACCTAGGCAAAGCTTACGGGGACAGGGTCACGCATACAAAATGACTCGTTTACTCATATATAGACATTTGATAATGTAGATATTTTCAAATGTATTGCTTGGTTAAAAAGTTTTACATGAGTTATTTTCCTCAAGAATCATTTGTATATTGTTACCATTTTGCCCTTACATTTAATATCTTAATAAAGCCTACCACAAAAAAATTATTTTTCAACCAACATATAGCATATTATTTGGGTACGTATTATCCATATATAATGCTACTTTTTAATTTTGAATAATACTTTTATAGCTTGCCAAAAATTTCAAAATTCTAATAAAAACTACAAAAAGGGGAAAATGGAATAAAAAATTGAATTTTGATTTTTTGAATCATTTTAGAGTCAAACATAATCTATAATTGAAATCGATCTCTAGATAGTAACGACTATTTTACTATAAAAAGTTGAAAAGTATTATTGAGAAATATTTTCAAAGTATTATTTGAAAACATAGCAAGGTGGATATCATTCTGTAAATTACAATTAATGAGTTCTTTATATACAAATTTGATTGAATTGCGAGTTAAATTGAATGAGTTATGACCTGATTAAGAAAACTAGAGTTTTGAAAAAATAGGTTTTGTCTATTCGAAAATATATTTTCTCCTCTAGGATGCATAAGTTACCAAGGATGGGCTCTCTGTGCGGGATTTCATACTAAGAATATCAGAATCTAACATTGAAGGGTTCCCTACAAGCTATGAGGTGCTTTCACCAAGATGAAATGTAACGAAGTTAAGTCCGTTTAGCTTCGTATCATAATGAAAAATTACGTATCAGGCACCCTTTTTATCTCTTTGGACAGAGATCTTCGCCAATATTGATAGACTCTCTTTATTGGTATTCATAATAAAAGTGTCACAATCTAACATTGAAGGGATCCTAACAAAATGAAATATAATGAAGTCATGTCCATTTAATTTCGTATCATAATGAAAAACCAAGACCTATATGGATGGACAGGGTGACATGACATGAAAGCGGGATAGGTCATGGATGTGAGATTTATTTCAGGAAGTGGAATCTTCCACTTTGTGAAATCCCATATGAAATAGCATGTGGCAGGAGAATGGCCCCCCTTCCCATCTTTTCCTCTTTTTTTTCTTTATCATTTTTGTTTTCTTTATTTGAATTGAAAAGAGTGTAGTGTGGTATTGTTTTAACTACAAATTTCATGTATTTTTATTAAAGTCTATCCATTTTAAATTACATAATTTATTTTTTTAATCAATGAATAAAGCTATAATATATTTTTAATGAATTAGTAAATTTATTTCATTATTGATAATTAAATAATTACAATATATTATTTTAACTATTTGATACATCTTGAATTGGTAAAATCATATAGGTTAGATAAAATGTGTAGTGTATTAAAAAGTAAGTTGGACCCACCATATGAAATAGATAGTGGATTTCATGGATGTAGAGAGAATGTAAGTGATATGTAATGGAATGGAAAAAGCTGATGAAATGGCAATAGGCGCACATATGAAATAGAAATGGTATTTTATGGATGCGGATGGTCTAATAAATACAAAAATAGAATAGGCACTCAAGTTAACCCAACGGCAATGGGCGGCACACATGGAGGGGCCCAAACATTTTTTCTTGGTGTTTTTCAAGGGAAAATAAGTAAAAAGGGGCAATCTGAATGAAATATGATCAAAGCTAGTCTCATATTATATATAATATAGGACAGTTTTGTTTAACTATGGATGCATCATGCATACCAAGGTCACCAAGGAGGAATTAATGGCTTAGAGTGGATAGGAAAGATGGATGGATGTGGATCTACTTCCAGTTATTGGCAACGATGTCGGCGAGGTCTACAACCCGTTGGGAGTAGCCCCACTCGTTGTCATACCAAGCAATGACCTTGACCATGTCGTCGCCCATGACCATGGTCAAGGAAGAGTCGACCGTGGAAGAAACGTCGGTGCACCTGAAGTCGACGGAGACGAGGGGCTCGTCGCAAACAGAAAGGATGCCGTTGAGCTCGTTGTCGGCGCTCTCGCGGAAGGCGGCGTTGACCTCCTCGGCGAAGGTCTTCTTGGAGACCTGGACGACAAGGTCAACGACGGAGACATTAGGGGTGGGGACACGGAGGGCAATCCCGTTGAGCTTGCCCTTGAGGGTGGGCAGGACGAGGGCGACAGCCTTGGCGGCTCCGGTGGAGGTAGGGACAATGTTGAGGGCAGCAGCCCTGGCTCGCCTGAGGTCCCTGTGGCTGGCGTCGAGGAGGCGCTGGTCCCCTGTGTAGGAGTGGGTGGTGGTCATAGTGCCCTTGATGATACCGAATTTCTGGTCGAGCACCTTGACGAAAGGAGCCAGGCAGTTGGTGGTGCAGGAGGCGTTGCTGATGATATCCTCGTCTGGGCTGTAAGCGTCCGCGTTGACCCCGACCACGTAGGTTGGGATGTCTCCCTTCCCTGGCGCTGTGATGAGCACCTTCTTGGCCCCCGCTTGGATGTGCTTCCCTGCGCCATCCCTGTCCACGAAAACTCCTGTGCCTTCTATCACCAGGTCGATCTCCAGCTCCCTGCAGGCATCATCAAGGATTGCATATTTACTGTGAGTCTGTGACTATTTACTAGTACTGATATTACCTGCAGATATATAATAATCAATACAACCATGCAGGATTGAAGAGAGAGTGATAGTTAGCTAGCTTACTTCCAGGGAAGGTTGGCCGGATTACGGTCTGAGACGACCTTGATGACCTTGCCGTCCACGGAGATGCCGTTATCGCCAACAGGCTTGACGTCAGCGTCGAAGATCCCGAGGGTGGAGTCGTACTTGAGGAGGTGCGAAGCCTGCTTAACGCCTCCGGTGTCGTTGATGGCAATCACGTCCAATGGCGAGTCCTTCCTCCCGTGCCAGCATCTCAAGAAGTTCCTCCCGATCCTACCGAACCCATTTATCGCTACTTTCAGTTTGGCCTCCGCTGCACTTTTCCTGTATCCCCCGCTGCTGCTAACTCCCTGCACCGCACCCGGCGGGCCCATCACTACTGTTATTAATTGTAAGGAAATTCCTACCATATTGTCTTTGAGTTATTATGGGGTCGTTTGGATGTGGAAATGTAATGCAGTAATTGGATCCAATTACCACATAATGCAGTAATTGGGTTAAAAACCCACGTTTGGGAGAGCAAAAAGAGTATGGGAATTGGACCATGGAAATTGGCTTCAATTACCACATTCATGGTAATTGAGAATACTACACCTTCCCCTAGTAGTTTGACATTACCACGTTTTCTTACTTCTTTTTCCAAATTCCACACCATCAATTCCCACAAAACTAACCCTATCCAAACATGAATTTTATTCAATTTCCACAAATCAATTCCTTGCTTTTGTAAAACATGGAAATTCAAACAAATTCCATCGTTTTCAAATTTCCACATCCAAACGACCCCTATAAGTAATTAGATAATTGGCCCGAGCGTTGCTTCGGGATCTTGTACAATTTTATTTTTGAGATTTTTTTATATGTTGTGATATTTGGTTTTGTAAATGAGCCTTTATACTTATGGTCTAAATTATTGAAGGACCAAATCATTTATAATATAATGAATTATGCAATAATTTGATTGGATGTATTGCGTATGTGAAATATAGGAAAATGAATTTTGAGTTATAGAAATGAATAAACCTAATTCGTTTTGCTGATATTTTTTAAATATTCGGTTGCTATTATGATTGTACATACAATCTCCAATGCTTAATCTATAAAAATTGGTAGTCAAGTGTTTTTTCCCCCACTTCTCTCATACATTTCAAATTCGAATGCTAGAACGAATAAAATATTATCAAATGCTTAGTCTACAAATATGCTACACAAATGCTAAACTATGATAGTTTTTTTTAAGTATGACTCAAAATACATATCTCTACATGATAGTCATGTGTTCCCCCCCCCCCCCCCACTTTTCTAATACATTTCAAATTCGAATGCGTTGAAACGAATAAAATATTATCCAACTTGCCCTGCTGTCAGGGAATCGTCGGAGGGGATGAAAAGGAAAGAATGAAAGGGAAAGAAACGGGTTTAAGGGCTAGCATGGGCTCTTCTCCATCCGTGGGGGATCGACGGAGGGGTTTAAATGAAATAAAATAGTAAAAATGGTGAAAAAATTGGGGGTGGGTGCACCAACCTTAGGGTAGACCCGCCCGTATCTGCCCAGACCCCTTAAGTCTACTCGCCATTTAATTATACTAATAATAATAATAATTGGAACTCTTTCAACTATAATAAGTTTTACTGATGGCATTATGTAATTAATGCGATTCATCTATCTACATTCTACACTCCATACGTAGCTCATTAATCAATTCTGTATTTGAGAAATGCGTGCTTATATACATGTGTTAGTCTTTACCATATATTTATATATAAACTTTTTGTTTATTTTGTAAGTTCCGCCGATGCTGCCCATACTAGCTATTTAACCGATTGAATTCATTTATTTGGATCCAAAAATTAGGTGCAGTGGAACATCTTTTATAGAAGCGGAAAGCTAATGTGAATATTAACTAAGGAAGAAAAAAAGGCAGAGAATGAGATGCAGAGCAGGGTAGGGTACGTAGGCAGCTTACAGCAGAGGTCTGGAAAGAAACGACTGAGAAAAAGTCATCGGACGTTTTCTTGGCGAAAGGAAGGAAAGCTGATGAGGTGCGTAGGCCTGAGAATTCCGCCAGACCCTTCCCATTTCCCTGCAATCAGTGTTGGTAACTACTAGTTAACTAACTAGTCCAGTAAATAAATCACCATAAACCTAGTAATGAAATGAATATGATCTAGTAAGTGGTGATCGGTGGAGGTAGCAAAGCTGGCATATATATATATGGCATACCACAATGACTGGTATAAATAGTCATCCAAAGAGAGTATTGTTTACCTGAAGAGATGGTTTGGCTACGGCGAAAGTAGCCGAAGCCATCTGGGCAGTGAAACAGAGTGCTGGAAGAAGAGATGAGAGGGAGGATCGAGAATGTGGGATTGGTGTTCACTGGAGTCTTATGTGGGTTGGGGGGTGCGGAGAGTGATATGAGCGAGTGGTTGCAAGAGAAAGGAAGTTAACTGAGTGTGGGGTTCGCGCGGGCTCGGTTTTGGTGGTGAATAATAAGAGATTGGATGAGATTGTGGATAGCCCTCTTGTTCAACGTATGGCTCTCCTCCTGCTTCCTCTCAAACCCAATCTCCTCCTTCCTCTTCTTCTTTACTTTATTTTATTCCACCTTAATACGGATTCTCCTAATAACTCTAACATATCATTATGATTCTCACTTCCAAATAGTAGTCCGGTAGAGTTGGTGATGCAATTTCTGATCACATGACCTGATATGTTCCGCCTGTTTGTGGCGAGTATCACTCGATCCGTAATAGTGTGAGTCGAGATATGAACAATGCAGTTAAAATTGCATTTTAAGATGAAAGTTTTTAGGTTACTAAAACACTTTCGTTTTCATATAAAAAATTTAGTGTATAAAATTGGACTAAATTGCTTTTTAAAGTTTAAAAGCATACGCCTTTACGTTTCTAGTTCACCGAAACGCTTTACGCTTTTACGCTTCTAGTTCACTAAATGAGGGTTCTTTTCATGAAACTAATTATAAAAAGTATATTGTAAAGGTAAATTACCAACAATATGATACATTTGAGATTAAAAGATGCATACCAGGTAGTTGGATTATTCTCAGCTTCAATAGATTAATTTAATTCACCAGCTATGCCCTTCCCAAATTAATTAGCATAAAGAGAAAGATGGCTTGTTGTTAAGACCTATGTTTATGAACTTATTGTTAAGAAACCATGAGTTGCTCTACTTTAGACATGAATTGAAAGTATTTATTAACTTATCTAAATTTTGTGCACTCATATTTTACATAGTATATGTCATATTTAACAGATTTTTAGCTATTTTACAGTATGCGTAAAAAAAACAGGTTTTTTTTTAATTCCGGTGGCATATAATTTGGGCCATTTTGTAAAATTTAAAGGTACTAAGTGTCATGATAAAAAGATGGCTAATACCTTATTTTGGCCCGTACTATGACCATATAATCAACTTTGACCCGTGATTTCAAAAATTAACATCCTGACCCCAACTATGCAACATATAGACTCAATTGGCCGGACATATGGTTTGACCGTCAATTTGGACGATCAACACGCCATGTCATTGCCTACTCAGCCTAAAAATTATTTAAAAAATTCAAATTCAAATTATTTTCCTAATTTCTATTATTTATCATTAACAAATTAACCAAAAAATAAAATTATAAATAAAGATATTTTTTTAATTTTTGGGTAATTTTAAAATGATAAATCTTATAAATTAACCAAAAAGTATCAACTATTTTAAAATTTTCAATTTTTTTAGTTAATTTGAAAATGATAAATAATAGAAATTAGGAAAATAAATTGAAATTGAATTTTTTTTAATGATTTTTAGGCTGACGAGGTGATGACATGGCGTGTTGACTAACGATCAACGGTGTTGACCGTCCAAATTGACGGTCAAACCATGTGTTGGGACAATTGAGTCTATAGTGCGGGGAAGGGGCTTAGACAACGGATCTCCTGTCCCTTTACATTTTTACCATATCCATGGAATCTTTTCATGCTTGTTTCATAAAGCACCTATTGAGAATCAAGTCCCTTACCACCCTAGATGTAAGAAGTTGGACAATACGCATCTTTGTTTTGTGGATGATCTTTTTTTTTCAATGGTTCTGTGAGGGCGGTTGCAAGAATTAGGCTATAGTTGGATAATTTTTATTTGACTTTAAGGCTTAAGTGTAACGCTGAGAAGAGCCAGCTCTTCTGTGCGGCAATATCAGAAGAAGAGAAGCAGTTTATTTCGGCCAGTACTGACTTTCCCCTTTGCAGCCTCCCTGTTCGTTACCTGGGCGTTTCGTTCATTTTAGGTAAGCTCCGTAGGGTTGATTGTCAGGTACTTGTGGATAAAATTACTGCTCGTATTAGAGGATGGAATTCGAAAACACTCACCTATGCAGGGCGAATTCAACTAGTTTCTTTTGTTGTTTCCTGTGTTCTTCAATTTTGGATGAATTTTTTTTGTTTTTCCGACAACAATCCTTAAGGATATTGAGAAGATCTGCAATAAGTTTTTGTGGGGGATGGGGAAGGTGGTGGTAAAACTAAGGCGTTAACGGCTTGGTCTTATGTTGTTTTATTGAAGTCTGAAGGTGGACTAGGTCTAAGGGAATTTCGACTATGGAATAAGACTTGTGTTATTAGGCACCTGTGGTCAATCCTTGCTTGCAGCGGATCCATCTGGGTTGCTTGAATAAAGACGTACAGACTCATGGCTAAAACTATCTGGGAAGTCTCGGCTACCTCAGTGGAGTCTTGTGTTTGGAAGCGCATTATGAAACTTAGATACTACTATTAGATTCATCACAGGTGCAAGTTCCGTCTCTTTGTTGGGATGGATATTACATGTCTCGCTATTATGTTAAGTAAGCGAGTTTGGCTGAGTATCAGAGTATCTTCTCCACAAGTGAGTTAGTAAGAGCTTATTTGGGGTAAGATTCTAATTCCCAAATATAGTATTCTATCAGGGATGATTGTTTAGAACATAATCTATACAACTTATAAACTCCTACTGTGGGAGAATTCAATACCTGCTTTCTATGGGTTGTGCCTGTACGTGGGCAGCGGGTCATGCTGCCCACGGGCTAGCACGACACGGTTAGAGCACGACACGAGTACGGGCACGAAATAAATGGGCCAGCCCGGCACGAGCACGAATAATTTATGGGCCGTGTCGGGCCTAAACTTCATGGGCACTGGTACGAGCACGGGCACAGCACGGTATATAAGTGGGTCGTGTCGGGCCTAATATTTTCGAGACTTTATTGAGTATAAGAACGGACAAGGCACGAAAATAATATTTATTTGATAAAAAATAAATATAAAAAGAATTATAGGTTCAAATATTATAAAACACAAGTAGAAAAATAATTACTTGTTGTTGTTAGAAGTGTCATAAAGATATATACATAATTACTACCATAAGTAAAAATGGACAAAGAATTAAACAAAGCCAAATCACACTCGCTATACGTCCAATTTTCTTTTCCCCCTTATTTGTTACTTTTCTCAAACATTATCGGTTAATACTATCTTCTCCCGTCCAATTTTCACCTTCTTTTTCATTCTCTCTTTTGTTTTCGTCCTTTTCATTAAACACGAATACGAGCATGGCACGAACACGAATACGCACGACACGATTCGAACCGTGCCCGGGTCTGGGCCGGGCCTAGCAAAGTTAACAAATGGGCTTGCTGGTACGACAAGAAAATTGACGGGCCGTGCCAAGTACGACACAAAATAAATGAGCCCAAAGCGTGGCTGTGCCATGCCGGCCCAAGCACGGCCCAGCGCACATGTACTCACTTGTGCCCTAGTAGCTTGGAGAGCATGGATCACTTGTCTGGTGTATGGTCCTTTAGCTATTTTGCATATGGTCCTTTAGCTATTTTGCAGGCTAATTTTGTTGTTGTTTTACTCCCTACTCTTAGTAACTGGGATGATATTTTGACCAACCAAAGTCGCAATTTCAAACATTCCAGTTCCCACCTATTGCAAATAACCCTCCACCAAGGATCCCCTCTCTAACTCCCCTTTGCAGTTGACAGAGCGAACCTCACAGCCTAGTTATGATCTTTTTTTCTTTGATGTTTGTGAATTATAATGATCTTGTGGTGCTTGTGTTTGATGTCTTACTAGTTGGTACTCGCTAATTGGATGAACAAGTTCAATTATTTCTTCTTTATGCATCAAAATTTGGATTTAAATTATGAATTCACGATAAATGTTGTATTAATATTGTTTCTTATGATTATTATTTTATGCTAACAATGTAGACATGTAGTTAAATTAATTTAAATTATTTGTAGGATTATTCATCTTTAATATATAGTACTCTTGGTCATTCTTATGTTTGTTGATTGAAAATGATATTAAATGACACTTGTTAAACTTAATTCGATGATAATTTGCGTATTACAAGCGGTTATTGCTTCGGTTTATGATATTTCGTGAAAGACAATCGAAGCTATTGGTTTTCCCAGGTATAGCCGTAGTTCTTGGAATGTATGTTAGTGATTATTGGTCCAAACTAACCGCTAACCGAACCGATAAGAGATGGTTAACCAATAAGGATTATCGATTCGGTTATCGCTATGAGTTTTTGCTTATTGGTTAATCGCTAATCGTCATATCAGTTAATGGTTAACTGAAACCGAACCGACTAGCACCCCTAATTAAAAGAAATTGATTCATTAGCTTAGTTAATAGTGAAGACAAAAGTGAATCATCGTTTATAAAAGAATGACATTTCAAAAAAAATTATAAGAAAAAGACAAAAGCAAATCATCATATTCAATGGTTTATTTGCTTCTTAAATTTGCATGATTTTAGCGGTTGCAACTGCAAGTATTTAAAAGTTATTTTTCAGCTTTGAATTACATCAAGGTCAAGTTTCGAAATCGAATAGACGATTCGTTTATTAATGAGTTGTAGTGAGAAAAAATTGTTAAAAAATGATTAATGTGACAAAATAACATTATAATTATTGAGAGTGTTTTACAAAAAAATTCAGAATATGAAAACACGACATCATAACATGATATTTTGTTGGGTCCAAGTTCCTGTCAGTAACCCAGTGGTTACTTATGGTGAGTAAACAAATCTCAGCCATCAGATTTAACTAGGCCCAGAAAATCCATATCTAAGGATGAAGAATTAAATGCATTTTTATTTTTCCTTGTTTTCTTAATCTACTCATATCTTCTTCGTTTTAACTCGGATTTCAATTTTGTTTTTGTTTTTGCACCGATGGAACGAGTTCGTTGTGCTCTACAAAATGAGGTCCATTTTCAAGATTGTTTTAGAAAAAATTCTTGCCTCTCATTACGAACTGCATACCATATGGTATCTTCTTCGTTTTTAATTTATTTTTTAAAACTTTTGCACAGAATGAACAAGTTCATCATAATCTATTGGATCTACAAATTTCTGGGTGAACAAAATATAGGACAAAAAAATACTACACAATACCACCCTGGTATGGGGTGATATCTTGTGGTACAAAATCTTCAAAGTCATAAATGACAATTAGTATATACCTACTATCATGTATTCAATTGTCCTACAGTCTTGGTATGTTTATATCACCATGGTAAGTTTTTCATACCATATGGTATGTTCTTATTTAATAACAGTCAATACCATATGGTATATACGGGTAAAAAATGACTCAAATGTTTTTGTTCCAAAAATATATCAAAGTGGATATCGTTTTGAAAAGCACAATTAATCTGAACTAACTGTGCAAAAATATTAAATTCCAACTTAAAGCGAGTGAGAAATCGTTCGTTAAATATTAAGGTGAAAAAATTAAGGGGTCGTTTGGATTAGAGATTTTAATAACGAGGGATTTTAAATAAAATCTATCGTTTAAAATATAAGGAATTTTATATGCAGGATTTAACTGAAAATAACTCGTTTGGATTGATACGCAGAATTTTAACATAAGCATCCAAATTACATTATTGTCCTCATCTTCTATCCTTCGTCTTCTTCCCCCTATTCTTCATTTGTCAATTTTTGTCCTTGGCCATTATTTCAGTCCCTCGTAATCATATCAAAACCAAAATTAATTGAATAAAAAATGGGCGATTGAAACCCAAATTGGGCGAAGATAAAACAAAGAAAGAATGGATGTTGCCAATACAAAAACGAAGCACAAAGATATTGTTACTACTAGCAATCCATAATCTAATGAATCCCAGAATACCCAAATAACAACAAATACCAAACGAACAATGAAACCCAGAATACCAAACGAATAATGATACCCAGAAATTTCAATGAAAAAGAGGAAAAAAAGAAGTAGAGGGAGAGCGAGGAGAAGGGATCTGAGAGGTCGGATCCATAGAAGATATTTGGTCGGTCTCTACGTCTTTAGGGACCGCCGCTGATGGAGGACGGCGCTGAATCGGGCCATCTCAGGGGATCGGTCGCTCATTGCCGGTAGCTACGAAACATAATGCTCGCCATGGAGAATTCACACTCAATCGAGTCTCTTTTCAAACACGAAGTCGGGAAGCTGCTGGATTGGCGCTCAATCGACGCAACCTATTCCCAGAATCGAAACTCTCTTCGAAACCCACAATCGGAAATCAACCTTTCGTTTGAAATCCAAATCTCTGGCAACAAAACGAAGTGGGAGAGGAGGGAAATTCGACCAAGTGAGAGATGAATGCACTTTTGGTGATGAAAAAATAAGAATGAGGGATTGTGAAATAGCTTATGGTCATCAGCTATTTTAAAAACCCACATATGAGAGTTTTTAAAATCACTAATTACAAAATCCTTCATCTTTCCTAAATGCAGAATTGTTTTAAAATCCTGCATAATGAGGGATTGTTTTAAAATCCCTAATAAATCCCTCAATAGAATTGAGCATCCAAACGACTCCTAAAGGTTTTGTTGGAGAGAGAAGGGAGTGATGTGAATGATGGTTATTGGATTATGAATGGTTAATGGTAAGGTTATGCATACAATAAAAAAAATGGTAAGGTTATGCATAGGAATTAATCCCATTTTATTGTAATTTTTACTAATAATATCTAATTTAATTTTAGAAGATAACACCAAAATTTATGTGTCTTTCAACCCAAAAAAAATTCATGTGTCTGCATTCATAAAAAAAAAAAAAATCATGCGTCTGCCACTGAGTAAGGGTGTAAGTTTGACCTTTAAAACCCACAGACCCGCCCCGACCCTCAGGGTTGGGCTGGGTCAGTTTGTCTACAGGGTCAATTTAGGGTCGGGTCACTTTTTGACCCTATGACCCTTAGTATCATACAAACACGTTGGACCTATTTGTAAAATTTTAAAAGTTTAGTTACTAAATTGTAAAAATTAAAAAAATTGGGTACCAAAATGTAATTTTACCATCAAATTTTAGGAACTTATTTGTAAAAAAATAAAATTTAGGTACTAAAATGTAAGAAAAAATAAATTCGGGTACCAAATTGTAATTTTTAAAAAAGTATTCTATTTATTAGGGTCGACCCACTGACCCGACCCGACCCGACCCTAAAGGATTAGACAGGGTGATAAAAGAAATAGTGTCGGGACGGGTCAATTATGCATCTTCACCATTCAGGGGCGGGTCAGACTGAATCAGGTCAGGCCAATTTTCAGCCCTACCACTGAGCAGTGCGCTCAATTTTTGACAGCTACCAAGCAGAGCAGAGCGCGGCGGCGATTGAATGTTGTCTGCCTGCTTGGCGGCGATCGAAAGATAAATCTAATTTCATACGACAGGCGGGGGCCGGAAAGTAAGAGAAGGGGAAGAGGATGATAAAACCGGGGAGGAAAATAGGGGAAAATAGTCCAGAAATAAATAAAGAGGAATTACTAGCTAGAAAGATATCGCTGGGGTGAGGTTAAGTATCCCGTCATCGAAACAGAAGCTCCCAGCCAAATCCCTAGTCTACAAATAACGGCAAGCAATCCGGATTTGTTTGTTGTAGGTCAGGCGGAATTGAATTGGAATGGGAGCAAGCAGCGACCCTAATCAAGACGGCGGCTCCGATGAGCAGCAGAAGCGATCCGAGATCTACACCTATGACGCTCCCTGGCACATCTACGCAATGAACTGGAGCGTCCGCCGCGACAAGAAGTACCGGCTCGCCATAGCCAGCCTCATGGAGCAGTACCAGAACCGCGTTGAGATTGTTCAGCTCGACGATTCCAACGGCGAGATCCGCTGTGACCAAAACCTCTCCTTCGAGCACCCTTTCCCTCCGACGAAGACCATGTTCATCCCTGACAAGGACTGCCAGAAGCCGGACCTCCTGGCCACCTCCAGCGACTTCCTCCGCGTCTGGCGAATCTCCGACGACCGGGTGGAGCTCAAGAGCCTCCTCAACGGCAACAAGAACAGCGAGTATTGCGGCCCTCTCACCTCCTTTGACTGGAACGAGGCCGAGCCCAAGCGAATTGGCACCTCCAGCATCGACACCACCTGCACCATCTGGGACATAGAGCGCGAAACAGTCGACACCCAGCTCATCGCCCACGATAAGGAGGTCTACGACATCGCCTGGGGCGGCGTCGGCGTCTTCGCCTCCGTCTCCGCGGATGGCTCCGTCAGGGTCTTCGATTTGCGGGACAAGGAGCACTCCACCATTATCTACGAGAGCTCTGAGCCTGATACCCCCTTGGTCCGCCTGGGATGGAACAAACAGGACCCCAGGTACATGGCCACTATCATCATGGACAGTGCCAAGGTTGTCGTCCTCGACATCCGCTTCCCTACCCTACCCGTGGTTGAGTTGCAGCGGCACCATGCCAGCGTCAACGCTATCGCCTGGGCACCTCATAGCTCTTGCCACATTTGCACCGCTGGAGACGATTCCCAGGCCTTGATTTGGGATCTCTCCTCCATGGGCCAGCCTGTTGAGGGCGGACTCGATCCCATTCTTGCTTATACAGCGGGCGCCGAAATTGAGCAGCTGCAGTGGTCCTCTTCCCAGCCTGATTGGGTTGCTATTGCCTTCTCTACCAAGCTCCAGATTCTCAGGGTCTGATCTGATCCGGCCTACTTACCTATTCATAAGTAAACTCTTTTCGTCTTTGCCAACTCCCCACAATTCACAATGGTGTATGCACGCATGTCTACACTACACTTGCTGGTGAGTGCCCCCATGTAATTTCAATTTTAACCTCCTGGATAGGGTAGCTACAATTTCTTTTTCCTTTATGTGGTGTGAGGTGGAGTAAAGGGGTGAAACTTGTTTGGCGTGTACTTGTTCTTAATGCTAACTTCATGCGCTGCAACAACTTTGAGTTAGTTTCTACTTCTCCTTTACTTGATTGCTTTTGATTTATAAGCTTGTTCTGCATGTGTGTTATGTTCTCTCTGCTCTGCTTGTGGGGGCGTGTTGCTAATGGTATATGAACTTCCAGATGTCATACCTCTGTAAGCTTGCTGTAAGGATTGTACATGTCGGTGAACGAATCCTCTTTTAGATGTACATTCCTGAAACACTTAAGTTTGAGTATCAACGGAAGAAATGTAACAGTTTAATGCTCTTCAGAGTTGGAGGAGAAGATCATTTTGGCGGGCAGCAGATTCCGATTAAGCGATGCATTTCCTGGACGAACTTGGTTGATCAGATATAGAGGTAGATAGCTAGGATAGGAGCTCAGACCGATATGCAATATGTCAACCAGTGGATATAAGTTTAATCAGAAAGCTGTGTACCACGAGGCACGAGGAGTGCTCAGAACAGTAAACGCGGTTTTTGTTCCTTTTGCACTGTTTTTAAACTCATAATAATTATGATGAGCCTACAATATTTTGCTGTCCGAGCCTCCGAGGTAGGCCTCTGATTGTAGCTGCATCTGTCCCTTCAGTGCATTCTCTAAAGGAAGTGTTATACATTGGAGTATCTGTACATTGTTTCAAGTGCCAGTAGCTTTGCTTCGCATCAGAATCATGTTAGCTGGACATTGGTTTGGTTTGGGTGCGATAGAATTTCTGACAAACCGAGCAAGGAACCAATCAATCGTTTTTTGTCCCATTCTCTCAGACCTGTCACAAGTAGATTCTCCTTGCCATAAACGTAAAGAAAATTGTACAAGCTATCACCGTATGTATCTTCCTGTAAGTGTCACCACCATTATTGTTACTGGAAACATTCAGCTGCCAAGAAGAAATCAAGGTGGCCGGTCGATGTTTTAACAGTTTTGGCAACATGGAGTTTGAACGTTGAAGTGATGTGGATCATCCCCGACTAAGCCAACACAAACTTGGGGTGTGAGACCGAACTCTACATCACTGGTGTCACTGATCCAAAAGAGCCGTGCCCAGGCTCGACAATAAACCACTCACAACTACAAGATTATCAATCCCTCAACTAACTCAAAGCGGGTTCTTGTGTTTTGCACATCAGCAATCAGCAAGTGCTATGAGCTGATCAACTACTCCTGGATCGGCCAGAGTACTCGTGTCTCCAAGCTCATCCAATTGCCTGGACGCAATTTTCCTCAGAATCCTCCTCATAATCTTACCACTTCTTGTCTTCGGGAGGCCAGGAGCCCAGTGTATCCTATCTGGTGCGGCAAAGGGTCCTATCTGGAAGGGAGAAACATATCCACCACTTCAGGCTATATTCAAACATAACAGGCCCCGAGGGCAGAGCTCCAAATAAATAAAACCTAACTATATAGTTGAAGATGCATTCTTAAAAGTTTTATCTTCAGCAAATTTGAGAAACCACTTGCTCTTTCATCAAGTTTGCACTTTTAGTCTCTGTTACAGGTTTTAGGTTATCTATATATACAGTATGCAATATGAATGGAAATGCTCAACTTTCATGCAGGAGAAGATGAATCTAACTAACAAAAGTAAATGTTTTCTTCTATTTAACCTGCAATAAAATCACTCAAGAGTTTGTTGGTTTTGAGTATGACCTGATTCCGCACAGTAGTTATAAGGTTTCGTCGGAGTTCTTCACTGTAAGGAATGCCATCCACAAGGGTTACAAAGGCATATATACCCTGCCCCTTAACCTGCTAGCCAATGAACAGAAGGGTTTGTCAATTGTCAGATTCACTGCCTTGGAGTATAAGATACCATCAGGACCTCTTTTTTAATTCTAAGCTGGATTTATGAGACATGCCTCATGCTCAACACCAACCACTGCAGCTTCCGCGCATTGGGGATGAGATACAAGAGCAGATTCCACTTCCGCTGTCCCTATCCGATGCCCACTGCAAAACAAGAAAGCATCACTCGAAAGGGAAGAATAGGAAAGCATAAGAAAGTGATTGATGGTGTCCTTTGCATTTCTAATCTAGATTTTTGTTCTGCTTCTTGCTAAAGAGAGTGCCAAAATGCTGTATTTTTCTGGATGGCTGGTCTGGCAGGGTACTAAATATGGATACCTGTTCTCCGTGTCCGTCTTAGTAAGATTTATCTCTTAACATCGCCTATTAAAGAGGAAAAAGTGCAGTAGCCCAAACAGACATAACCTCGGAAGTCAGAACATTTCGTTCATCCAGAATCTTCTTCTTTTTTCATTTTGGGCCTTTTCTTGTTCATTTTTCTCACCAGTATTTTATAGGAACCTTAATTTGAGATATCACATGAGAATAGACAAGATGGGAAAAGGCTTTTGACATTCGAATATTTGATCTCACCTGACATTGATGACATCATCAACTCTTCCAGTAAGCCAGTAGTACCCATCTTTGTCCCTGGCGTACAAGACCTAATTGTCAATCATTCAGCCCTAGTTCCCCAGCCAAATGCTGGGGAACCAGAGCTTTCCATTCATGGGTGACATTAAGATAATAAATGAAGATGAGAGAATTACAATTTGATGTTATAACCCATACCTGCTGCAGCCATCACCGCTAAAATAATAACCAGGGAATGGCTTGAAGTACGTGGTTTCGTATCTTTCATGATCCCCGTAAAGAGTTCGAAACGTCCCTGGCCATGAGCTTTTCACGCAGAGATACCCACTACACTCTCCTTCTATCTCAACACCCTTTTCATCCACTATTACAGGCTGAAGGTGCACCAGCCAAAGATGAACGAATGAGAGTTAGCCAATCAACAATCAACCAAATCAGGAAACAGAATTAAGAGCTCAGATAGAATCAAAGTACCTGAACACCAAAGAAAGGGAAAGTAGCAGAACCAGGCTTCTGAGGCCAGGCACCCGGTAAAGGAGCAATCTGACAGGTATGCAATATAATGTGAATGAACTGTAACAAGAAAAGAAGCACAGAAATATAAAGTGTTGAATAAATTCATCTATAGTACCATGAAGCCACCGGTTTCAGTCTGCCACCAAGTGTCGGATATCGGGCACCTCGAATCTCCTACTACATTAAAAAACCACCTGCAACAAACAATGTATTGAGAGTGAGAGTGAGAGAGAGAGAGAGAGAGAGAGGTGATCGTGCTTCCAGAAAAGAAAAAACCTCCATGCACTTGGATTGATAGGCTCGCCTACACTGCCAAGCACTCGTAAGGACTTGCGGGAATAGCGAGTCACGTACTGCATACACATAATAGTTTGCATCAATTTGCTATTCAATGATGTTTGCTCTGATGGTACTAGCTTCTTCAACCCTGGGCAGTACCGATCCTTGAAGATCATAATTATAAAAGATAACCAACAGAAGTATTGTTTATAGTACATGAGATATGTTGGTTCATAATCAGTTAAGTAACATGCAGTTCGTTTATACTCTCAGACTCCAAAGGCATTGATAACCCTACTTAGAGAAAAGGAGCAGAAACTGTAATCATATTCCGGACGACATTAGAAGTTAAGATGTCTCTACATGTACCCTACAACAGTGTCTTACCGCATCGCCATCACGCATGAGGGACCGTACCAATGTGGGGGCAGTGTAGAATATTGTCACTTTGAATTTGTCAACAATATCCCAGCAGCGACCTGGATCAGGATAATTTGGTGCCTGCAGGCAAAAGTACTTATGCTACCACAGATCCAGGTCCATTGAACAGAACTTAACACAAATGAAATAATCACCACAGATAACACATCTGGCAAGTAATCATGCTACAGAGGAAGGAAATGACTAAGAAGACTGAAGCTATGTAAGTAGTCTATGATTAGTTTTGTCTTAAAAAGTAATCGGACAAACAAATTCCAGAATTACCCCTTCATAAATGACAACTGTAGCGCCATTGAGCAAAGGTCCGTAAGTCACATAGCTGTGGCCAGTGATCCATCCACAATCAGCTGTGCACCTATCATTAAGAGAGAGCCCTGACTAATATTTCCACCTCGTATTGTATGGAAGCCATGATAACTTTGGAAAGGGCAAAGAAGCTCCAAGAAGGTTGCAGAAGCTGTGATTACCAGTAGATGTCAGAAGGTTTATAATCAAACGCATACTTGAAAGTCGTAGCAGTGTAAACCATATATCCTCCAGTTGTATGGAGAACACCCTGAGGACAGCTCCTAGTTAGAAAATTGGCAAAGAAAGAAAGAAACAACTCCGTTAGCTTAAAATTAAATACGGAGTTTAGATACCTTTGGTTTACCCGTGCTACCACTAGTGTACAGCAGGAAAAGGGGATCTTCTGCATCAACCCATTCCACCTCACAAATGGTTGAGTATGTTGGAACGACATCCTTAGAGACAAGGGGGGTTTTTTTGTATGTCAAAATTCCGAATGAATAAGCAATATGAAGTACAGCAGACTGCCCAACCATACTATGGCCAAATAGAAGACAATAAAATTATACATGATATCATGGAGACCCATGTAAAACATGTTTAAGAAAACAAGCTATCTGCATTTTCACATAGCACTTATGGTCTCTTGTATGCCTTTGGGGTGGAAGCTAATATGTTTTACATATGATTGAGCATGCTGGAACGACATACTTAGAGACAAGTATTTTTTTTTTTTTTGTCAAAATTCCGAATGAATAAGCAATATGACGTACGCAGACTGCCCAACCCTATGGCCAAATAGGAGACAATAAAATTATGCATGATATCGAGGAGATCCATGTGAAACATGTTTAAGAAAACAAGCTATCTGCATTTTCACATAGCACGTATGGTCTCTTGTATGCCTTTGGAGTGGAAACTAATATGCTGGAGAAGATGTCATCTACTTACTTGCCACCATATGTCTCTCCCATCCTGCCATTTTGTGGTTTCCCTCATCATGGCAGACCGATTTTCATAAGTTAAGCAAGCATCTTCAAAATGAAAAAGAAAGAGAGAAAACTCAGTAATGGAACCAAACTTTAAGTTCGGAAAATTGGAATCATGAGCCATTCTTTTTCCATATATATAAGGCTTCTCAAACAGCATATTGACCCAACAACGCCCCACCAGAGTCGAACTTTACTCTACTTTGCCTTATTCATAGCAGGTTTGTCATAAACCACTCATATTAGGAAACGAGATTTCGGATTAGAACTGGCAATCAGATATGCAAGTTGAGAATGAAAATGAGAGAAACAATTTTCCACCGAAGGAAGTAAAAGAAAATTCTTATTGTCACGTACTCTACTCTAGATCATTGTGATAGACGTGACATACCAACTGAGATGCCATTTTTAGCAGATTCACTAAGTGCAGCATCAACTATGTCTTTGAGATGGATGACCTTGGAACCTCTCTTGACCGCATTGCAGGTTAAAACAACTTTCGGTTTGCAGTCCATGATCCTCTGAGCAAGAGAATCTGCAGAGAACCCTGCAAATACGACCTAATGTACATTAAGGGTAAGAGACATCAGCTGGGAGAACTGAATCTAAGGTGAAAGGGAAAAACTGGGGCAGCACTACCGAGTGAACAGCTCCGATGCGAGCGCATGCAAGCATAGCAATAGGAAGTTCCATAAGCATTGGTAGGTAAATTACTACTGCATCACCCTTTTTAACACCTATATCTCTCAAGTAGTTGGCAACCTACAAAAGAGAAGGTTCAAGCTGAACATGTGAATTTGGAGAGCACAAAAAAGAAAAGACATCTGAAATCCAACTCCAGCTTTAGCTTATATTGATAATCCAAGCCCTAGGACTAGAGGAAGGAGAAAGTAAGAAAGACCTGGCAAACTTGGCTAAGAAGTTGGGTGTAGGTTAGAGAGTCATGGAAACCCCGCTCATTGCCTTCCCAGTGAAAAGCAATCTTATCACCGTTTCCAGAATCTACATTTCTATCCAGGCAGTTGTAGCAAATGTTGGTGATCCCACCTTTAAACCACTGCACGAAAATTTGTGAACTAGTACGACATTTAAATGATTTCTCGTATCATAAAATTTCGCGGCCAGGTATTCCAAACACGTTCGAAAGGGGGTGATGTGGATAGATGAATGATAATATGGAGAACTGAAAGGTAACCTGCACGTAGACATTGCCGTTGCGTATGTCGAAGTTCTCCGAGCAAACAGTATCTCCCCACTTGCTTTTCCAGAGGAACTGGGAAGCAATATCAGACCAAAATCCAGCAGGATCTTCCACGGACCTTTTATACATTTCCAAGTACTGAACAAAGACGAAAGGAAGCTTTAAGTCAACGGAGTGATTAGAATAGAGGGTGAATGGAAAGAGGAAAAATGAAGAGTGAAACCTTTTGCGCGGAGGGAAGCAAGGCCTGGCGGGCGAAGTCATCGCTGGGGAAGACAAGATCGTCCTCTTCGGAAGCAAGAGCTTCACCCAAAATGACGGCGTTGAGACGAGGAATCTTACCTGCGCCGGACGGCAGGACTGCCATTGACTCGACATGCCGGAGGTGATTAGTGGTCGTGTTGAGGCTGCAATTGGTCATCCCAAGAACCGAAGAAGAGGAAGCAGCAGCTGTGTGTTCTGATTGAGAGAAAGGATGAGGAACGAGGAGGAAGGCCTGGGTTTGGGGGGCTTTGACTGATCTCCTCGTCGATGATCTGAATTTGGATTTTTTATTATTGTTACAGCGATGATCCAATATTGGCGGAGTCAGGAGGGGTTTGATATATGTAACGGGGGGAGAATCATGGGTTCGTAGTCCAACACCAACTCCTCCCGCTGTGAACGAGGAGGAAATCATCCTTCCTTCCTTGCCTTCCGTCCTTGCCTTCCGCGCTGTACCTGTCCCCTACATTTCTTTATTTCGTTTGTTGGATTTGACGGACAGAACAGAACCGTGGAAGTATAACTGCCCGCACCGGTTAACTACACCACAGATTGGATAACCCTAAACCGACAGCAACGTCAATTATGTTTAGTATTAGAATACTGAATGGCTAAACCTCGCCCTTGTTTTACTTTTATCGCCCTAACTTAAAACAAATAATTACTAGATCGTCCTTCATTCACCAAACAAATATCAATAAAACACATAGACTCTAATAAAATCCCTAAACCTCCTTCATCTTCGTTGGACAAGATCGGCTAAACGGCCCTCGACCGGCGAGGCTATGAAATTGCTGATCAGTTATGATCTCTAGCAGGCGTTATTTAACGGAAGGGGGAAGGTGGCAGAGTTTGAGACGGTTACTACTAGACGTGTTGGAGTTGAATTGGGGATCCAAGAATATTCCATGTCACAAGATTTTCTTCTCAAAATTGAAATTGGAGAAGCGGATCCAAACAGTTCAAATAACTTTCCCAAGTCCCAACTCTCAGGCGGTACATACAAGAACAGCCAAGTCAATTTGATTAGCATGACAAAGCATTCTCATTCTCCCGTAAGTTGTTGTCTATTTTTATGAAAATTTCTTAAGAATTTTTTTTTGACTAGGTCGCCCTGTTCATAAGTGCCGGAGGTGAATTGTGGTTGCGGCGGGTAATGGCAGCAACGAATGGTGGTGACTGGCGACAAGTATTGATGGGGTGGGAGGGTTGCCGACTTGCCGGATCCAATTTTATTTATCAAAATAAAACATTTTCAAACCGTAGAAAAATATAAGGAGAAAGAGGTAATTTTAACTTTTATGTTAGGGCGATTGTAATAGAGTTAGGGCGATGAATAGCAATCCCCGTAGAATAAGACCATCTCCAACAACCAAATGTCAAAATGCTAGAATGCCAAAATTATTTGGCATTTTGGCACTTAAAAAGTGGTTTTTCTCCAACAAGCAAAGTCAAAATGCTAGAATGCCAAATCTTCTCATTTTGTGATAATCTAGCTTAGTGTAGGTTTCATCACTTTAATTAGATAGTTTATAGATTATTTGTATATAGGTAGAAATAATTAATTAATACGAATGTTTCGATATATTTTTGTTTAATTTTGACATAAAAAAAATTTGTTAAATATGATGTTTATAGAGAAATCCGTGAAAAATAACTGTTACGGGCTAATAGAGCTGTTGGTAATTATTTGAGTGACTGAAATATATTTTTTTCTTCTTCTTTTTCAATTTCCAACGGTTATAAAGGTGGAAAAGTGTAGGGCCAGCTCCAAACCCACATTTAGCTTTCTTTGTCTTTTTCCAATGGGTTTTTGGCTGAAAATTTTGGCTTTTTTGGCTTTTTAGCTTTTCCCAATTGCCACTCGAGGAAGTATTTTAGGATTTTTGACTTTTAAGGTTAGTTGTTGGAGATGGTCTAACAAGGGATCGGTTAGCATGCTAACCCTTGTATGGGTTGGCAAAATGACAACCCCTATTAATTATAGGTTTTTAAGGTAATTAATTTGTGTTGCATTTAATAATTTGTATGAATTAAAAACACATATTAATTACTTTCCTTTTTTCAGTGCACTGGTAGTTGTATCAGTGCACTGGTATGCTGAACTCATATTAATTACGTTCCTTTTTTGGAGCTACCATTGCAGTGATACATCTACTATTGCACCTGTACACAACTACCAGTGCACTGATACAACTACCAGTGCACTGAAAAAAGGAAAGTAATTAATATGTGTTTTTAATTCATACAGATTATCAAATGCAACACAAATTAATTACCTTAAAAACCTATAATTAATAGGGGTTGTCATTTTGCCAACCCTTTTATGGGTAGGCATGCTATCTCATCCCGAATAACAATTATAGGTAGAGCGGACACATGAATTGGTGGATTAGATTGAAGTATTTATGGATTAAATGAATTGGATTAAATGAATTGGATCAAATAGGTTATAGATTGGTGGATTCATGGATTGTATCAAGTGGATTGGTGAATTGATTTATTGATAGGTATCAAAATATAACTTTCCAATAATATTTTTTCATCTAAAAATAAATTTTAGGAACCAAATTTATAGGTTAACTATTGACCACAAACAAAAAAATTTAGTTTGTAATTTTAATGTGAATTTTTAGTATGCTTTTTTTTAGTAATTTAAATTTTTATTACTTTGGTGCTGACATGACATGAGTTGGATCGTTGACCATTAACCGTCCAAATTGACGGTCAAACCACACGTCCAGGAAATTGAGTCTATATGGTGGATAGTTGAGGCTAGGATAGCAATTTGAAACCACGAGCTTGATTACATAGGTAAATTTCGGGTAAGAATAAGATATTAACCCTTAATTTTAAGAGTGGTCGGATTTAAGGGGTGAGATTAAAAGATTTTTAATTTTCCTTACTTTTTTAATCATATGGTCTCTTATTTGTTCTAAATGGATTTTTTTTAAGAGATGGAATTGTTTTGTTGTGATCTACAAAATTATATTCACTTTTAATATATTTTGAGGAAAAAGATTTACGTACCACCCATTACCACTTGTTGCCAACTTGGTACCCCTCTGCACAACCTTGTTTTTACTAAACTTTTGAGAGAGAAAAATCATGGAATGAACGAGTTCATCATGATATATTATGTTTTACAAATTTCAGGGAGGAATCTCAGGACCAAATAAACGACAATATACCACCCTGGTATAAGATGGTAACTAGTGGTAGACGGTGATTAAATGAGATAAATGATGATTAGTATATTCCTCTTATCATGTATATACCATTCTACACTGACATATTCATGCCACCATGGTACACTTCCATACCATCATGATATAATCATATGTACTACCTATCATTACCACTACTGTGTAAATTGATAATATATGCCTCAATTTTTTTATTTAAAATATATCAAAATGGATTTCATTTTGAAGAACACAATTTAATTTTTTTTGGGAATTTTTTTATTACAAAATAAAGCAAAAGTGATACAGCTGTGAGAATTCAAGGGATAATACCATTAAAAATATAAACTTTTAGCAAAATTGTCATTTATATTTAGGTAATGACTATTTATTAACCAAAACTTTTAGTTAGTAATTTTGAATTGGCAATATGATACTGACTTGGAAGAGACACTTGAAGGTTAACATTCCAAAATTTTAGTACTTTAACTAAGAAAAGAGCTACAAAATCATTAACAATAATGTAAAAATGGATAATATTTTGATGCACTATGAAAAATTTGGCTAATTAATAGCATTTTAATAGGTTTGGATAATATAAAAGAATCTGGAAAAGGATTGGATAAAAAATAGACATTATCCTTTAGGATTTTGCTACGGTGACATGACATGGACTTTTCGGTCGACCTAATCCAAAATGCAGTCGACCGAATTGACTAATTCATGTATGTGAGGTTCCGAGACGCGATCGACCTCTTACATAATATGGTCGACCGCTTTGGTGGTCTAACAGAATGAAAGGTCGACCCAAATACCTCATAGGCCGACTCTTGTGCACCTAAGAGGTCGACCGCCTTCACACCGTATCCGTATTGGATACGGATTCCAACACCAGAAAGGTTCCACAATTGGACAAGGAAACGAATTGGGTCGACCCATTCACGTCCTAAATCTCTATAAATACGAATATAAGTCCCCTTCAACGCCACCAAGTCTGAATTAGGTTTTTTTCCGATTTAGAGCCTTTGTGAAGAACACTTATCTTCTATCTGGTCGATCGCTTTCCTTATCTGGTCGACCATTTTGTTAATGACTGCCATCAAGTGGTCGACCTATGTACCTTTTCGGTCGACCATGTTGTTTCTGACGCCAACGAAATGGCCGACCGAGGTTTTATTCTGGTCGACCAAAAATAACAACTTAAACTATGTGCGGTCGACCAGGTGGTCGTTGAGGTCGCCCGCAATGATTTCTCGTGCTGCCCCAGTTAGTCAATTCGGTCGACCGCCTTCAGGATTAGGTCGACTGAAAAGTCCATGTCACGGTGACATGCATGTCATAGTAGGCATACCCTATCCTTTATATTTTAAACTTTCAATAAACAAAAGGTCTAATACCACTAAAAATACCAACCTTTAGTGACTTTTCCATGTGTATTACGAAACTTTCGATATTACAATTGTATACCAACCGTTAATTTTTTCGGTTAATAGAAAATAAGTTTGCAATGATATGGCTATTGACATGGAATTTATAAAGAAAAATTTTAAATTAAGAAAATGGGGTAAAACCGGCGAGTTGCAAATTAGCCATCGCCGAGCTTAACGTCATGCTCCCGGTGTCGGCTCAACATTGCTCAAACCACTACTAATTTTCCAATGAAAAAGAACATATCTCGCCAAAATCCCCAATTTCGCCTCTCCACTTCTCCCCCAAATTTTCAATTTCAGTTCATCTCTCAACTTCTTCCCCAAATATCCAACTCCATCTCTACTAGCACCGGGCCCGCGTCGTTGACCGGGTAAATTACACACAATCTTCTTATTTGGTAAAATTTGAAATATAAACTCAATTGATAATAGTTCATTTGTTTTCGTAACTTTTGTAATAAAATCGTGTTTGTACAAAAGTTTATCCCAAAAAATATGTTTATTAATACCTACGAAAGTTATATCTAAAAATTGTTGTGTGAAAGTGTTTATGGGATAAGTTCAAATTAAGCTATCCATGCGGATTGAGTGAATTAATGTTATTATGAAGATTAATTAAGAGAATTGATTCGTAATTTTATAAACAATAATAATAAGCAATAATATTCATAATGTGTTGAAAAAAATGTTATATGAGATGAACGTAAAAATAGTAACAGGAAATAAATACTTGGGCCACCAATCCAACTGTCTAATTGATTTCCAGCCCACAGAAGAATGGGCGAATATTGAGCCACTAGTTTGAATGATCGGGAAGTGGAACCAAAGTCGAAGGCTGTATCCGTCCTTCACCAACCAATCGACTTCTTTCTGGTTCTAATCTTATCTTAGATTC